CCATGAAGATAAATATTGATAAATTCTAAATTTAAGAATATATATTTTAAAAAAAGAACATTAATCAAACAAAAAGACAAGCCCCAAATTAGAAGATATTCACCAAAGAACTTCTAAATATTATAAGACAAAGGCAAACAACTCAATTGAAAGTTGGACAAAGAGCATGGTTTTGGCATTTCATAGGAGAGAGAACACAAATGGTTCATAAAAATGAAAAGATGCCTCGGTTGTAACCAGGGAAAGACAAATTAAAATCACAATAATATTCTCTTCCATACTCACTAGAGTGGCAAAAATTTTAGACCAGGTGATGGTGAGGTTATGGAGCAATGTATGCTGCTAGCTGAAGTGCAGCTTGGTGTGACCTCTCTGCTTTAGTCAATAAAGTTCAATAAGTACTCTATGGCCCAGCAATTTCTTTCTTTCTTTTTCTTCTTTACTGATTTTAGAGAAAGAGGAAGGAAGAGGGAGAGAGAGATAGAAACATCGATGAGAGAGAACATTGATTGGCCACCTCCTGCATGTCCCCCACTGGGGATCAGGCCCACAACCTGGGCATGTGCCCCGGCTGGGAATTGAACCTGCAACCTCTTGGTGCATGTGTCAATGCTCAACCACTGAGCCACACTGGCTGGACTGGCCCAGTAATTTCACTTCTAAGTATAAATCTTAGAAACATTTTTGTAACTGTACACCAGAAAACAAGTACAAGAATGCTCATAGCAACATTTCCTTACAGGCAAAAAACAGAAAAAAAACTTATACATGCACTCCCAATAGAATGGACAAACCAACCAAAGTATATTCATACAATAAAATAGCATGACCCTCATAAAAATGAATGAATTACAGCTGGAACCATCATCAAAGGGGAATCTCAAAAATACAAGGCTACCACATAAGGCTGTGCTTGCAAGTTGTGGAGTAGATTCAGCAGACACTAAAACCTATTACATGCTCCACCTGCCAAGCTGGCACAAGGATGCCTGTCCTTGAAGGAAGAGGTTCCTTTGTAATATTTTTAACTGCACAAAGGCTCCCAATGGGTTAGTTCTGGCTCCTCAAAAATCATTATGTTAAACAGAAAGACAAGCCACAGAAGTATATGTATCCTATATTATTTCATTTCTATAAAGTACAAACCAAGTAAAACTAAATAATGATTCATATCTGTGTGATAAAACTATAATCCAGAAAAACAAGAGTGACTAACACAAAATTCAGAATAGTGATCATTTCTTGGGGAGGGAGAGCATCCAGGTAAGAAGGGTTCATGATGGGTTGGAAAACTCTAAGGTACTGAGAATGTTCTATTTATTTGGCTGAGTAGTGGGTACTCAAGCATTATGTTATTGTTATTCTTTATCTTATACGTTCATGTTTATTATAGGTTTTTTTTTTGTTTTTTTGTTTTTTTTTATCCTCACCCGAGGATACTTTTCCATTTTTTGTACAGATAGAGTGGGAGGGAGAGAGAGGAAGGAGAGAGAGAGAAACATCGATGTGAAGGGACACATCGAGTGGCTGCCACCCGCATGACCAACCAGGGCCGGGGACAAACTGCAACCGAGGTACGTGCCCTTAGCGGGAACCGAACCCGGGTCTCTCCGGACCGCAGGCCGACGCTCTAACCGCTGAGCCAAACTGGCCAGGGCTATAGGTTTTTTTTTAATCCTCACCCGAGGACACTTTTCCATTTTTGTTCATATAGAGTGAGAGGGAGAGAGAGGAAGAGCGAGAGAGAGAAACAGCGATGTGAGAGAGACACATCGAGTGGCTACCTCCCGCACAACCTCAACCGGGGCCGGGGACAAACTGCAAATGACGTATGTGCCCTTAGCGGGAACCAAACCCGGGTCTCTAACCGCTAAGCCAAACAGGCCAAGGCTATTACAGTTTTTTTATTTATTGATGAGAGAGAGAGAAACATCGATTTATTGTTCCACTTATTTATGCATTCATTGGTTGCTTCTTGTTTGTGCCCTGACCAGAGATCAAATCCTCAACCTTGGTGTATCAGTACAAACACTAACCAAGTAAGCTACACAGCCAGGACCTTATATTCATTTATGTTTTAAAAACCCACCTTATGTAATATACATAATTGATTTTTACATAAAAGAGATCTTCCAAAAGTACTGCCTAGAGAAGGGATTCCAATACAAGATATAAGCAGGTAGATTATTGACAGAGGCCAAGGAAACTGAGGGTCTGAATGGGTCGCAGGAGGAGAGACCTTGGGTGCCTCATGTGCAGTGAGGTGGAGGACTCCAATGGAATCCTTCAAAAGTGCTTCATGACAAAGCAAATTAAAACACAAACTCATACACAAATGCTCATGGTAGTATTATTTACAATAGCCAAACGGTGGTAACAACCCCAGTGTCCATTAACTAGTGAATGGATAAATAAAATACGGTAATATTCACACTTTGAAATGCGTAGTCAGCAATAAAGGGAATGAAGTTCTCATGCATGGTACAACATGGATGAACTTTGAAAACATGCTAAGTGAAAGAAGCCTTTCACAAAAGACCATCAATTATGTAATTCCCTTTATATAGAGGGTCTAGAAAAGGTAGATCTACAGACTGAAAGTAGATTAGTTGTTTCCAGAGGCTAGAGGGTGTACATTTGTGGGAATGAGGAATGGCAGTTAATGGGTATGAAGTTTCTATTTTGGGTGATAAAATACGATTGTGGTAATGGATGCACAGCTCTGTGAATATACTACAAGCCAGAGAATTGTACACTTTTTTTTTAATCCTCATCTGAGGACATTTTTGCATTTATCTTCAGATAGAATAGGAGGGAGAAAGGGGTGAAGAAAGAGAGAGACACATCGACTGGCTGCCACCCACACAACCCCAACCAGGGCCGGGGACAAACTGCAACTGAGGTACGTGCCCTTAGCGGGAACTGAACCCCGGTCTCTCTGGACCACAGGCCGACACCCTAATGCTGAGCCAAACCGGCCAGGGCTAAAGTGACTTTTTATGATCACCTCCCTATAGAGCCCACTTTTTATGATCACCTCCCTATAGAGCCCAGTTTGTCTGATACAATGGTTACACATGCAATCAGCATGCTAATCACTAATGACTCTTATCCAGTCCCTCCCTGTGCTATGTAGGGATCTCCTCGTGTTCCAGACAACTGAGAGAGTCTTGTTACAGCTTAATAGAATGTTAGAAAATGGGCTCTGTTTCCTAATGAGCCAGCACCGAAACATATTTCCTGAGGAAGTGAACCGGGACCACTGTCCAAGCACAGGCAGCAGGAGGGCACGATTCTATGGTCTCAGAGGGATTCGGATACCACAGACACCGAATGATACAAGCTCCCCCTAGACGGGAAATGTGTCCCAGATCAGTGCCTAGTACAGAGGAAGAAACACTTGTTGAGTGACTGAATGAATGAAACTCCAAGATGCAAATAGGAAAATGAGAAAGAAATGACTTTTCTTTCCCCAGGCTTAAACTGCAATTAAAAAAAAAAAAAAAAAAAAATTACAGCCCTGGCCGGTTTGGCTCAGCGGTTAGAGCGTCCGCCTGCGGTCCGGAGAGACCCGGGTTCGGTTCCCGCTAAGGGCATGTACCTTGGTTGCAGTTTGTCCCCGGCCCTGGTTGGTCGTGCGGGTGGCAGCCACTCGATGTGTCCCTTTCACATCGATGTTTCCCTCTCTCTCTCTTCCTCTCTCTCCCTCCCACTCTGTCTGTGCAAAAAATGGAAAAGTGTCCTCGAATGAGGATAAAAAAAAAAAAAAATTACAATCATGATAATTTTATAGATATAGGGCTCAGGAAATCATGACAGTGGGTTGAGTCCCAGCTTAATAAGGGTACTGAGTACACCACCTAAAGTCAGCTGGTGGGTAGTGAACGGGCTGTGGTGATCCAAGTAACTATAATTGAAAATCTCTTTCTGCATGAAACACAAACTGGAAGAAAATTTTGTTTAAATTCTCCATGGAGAGTATTTTTATTTGTTTATATTCTTCTTGCATACTCTAAAACGCACAGTGTGAATTTCCTTTCCTCAGAAACAGTGGTGAGCCTGGTCAATTTATCTGAGATCTTCAGAAGGTCTTCGGAAATGTTGCCTTAGGTTTGAGCTAAGCGAGTCACAGGGATTGGTCATGAACTACTACAAAATTACAGGAGATCTAGTTATTATCCAACAGTTACCAGAAAAGCATTGAGAACACTGACATACAGCCAGACACAGAGGGTAACAGAAGAGCAGGTGCTGTTTAAGTAATGGGATTTCCATACATACAGTTCTATGTACAGTATCAGAATTCTCTTAAAGACAGTAAACTTATGCTTAAATTATTTTAAGGGCACTCTAATATAAATGCAAGTCTCACTAATTTTAATCTTTTCTCTTTGGCTCACAAATGCACAAAAATACCATAAACAATTTTCAGAACTTACTGCATTAATATATAAATAAGATACATTACGAATGGGAAGAAAATACAAGACACCTCTTTAACATGGTAAATCTCTGAATATAAATAAGCAAATATTTCATTTACCTACAATTAAACAGTCATTTAAATCATTATATGTGCCCCCCCCCCCCAGGTCAGACAACAGAGATGTGCACAATCTACACAAATTAATCTCTAAAAATACAGCAACATTACACCTGGAACAATGACTCCGCTACTATTTTTCCCTAACAGGATACTAATAGGGAGGGTGTGACTCTTGTCATTGAGTGGTACTTTTTCTCATCTGTCATCACTTTAGGTGGGAAAAACAATGACAACAAGGTCAACCCCTGCTAACAGAATTTCCCTTGGTTCCTACAACATGGCATTTTGAGAAACATCTTTCTTGGGGTTGCTGGGCGAGCTGGTGTGCAGCGTGTTTGGCTCGTCAGGTAACGTTAATTGTTTTGGAGTAGGAACATGCTGTAATCTATTACTAACATCCACTCACTATACATATACATATACATATACATATACATATACATATACATATACATATACATATACATATACATAGAGAGGTATATATAACTGTACATATATACTGTGTTCCTAATGTGCAACTTTTTAAAAAGAACATTATTTCCTGCTAACTATAACAAGCTTAAGTAAGGGTTTAACAGTATTCTTCAAGATATATTTTCCCTTAGTGAAATGGCCTGTTGTTTTAGTAACGTACAGAGGGTTCTAGAGTGTCAGAAAGGAAGGGGACACCCCACAGACGCCTGTTCTCTGGGCGATTACAGATCCTGGCCCAGTCTTTCTATCTCCTCGATGAGGAAGTCGATGTCAGACTGGGTGGCGGCCGGGTTCGAGATGACCATCCGGAAGAAGTTGACCTTGTCCCCCTGAGGCTGGTAGCCAACCATGGTCGTGCCAGACTCCATCATCAGGGCTTTGATTTTGGGAGCCACCTTGTGATGGAAATACAAAACAAAACTCAAGCCTGGTATTAAGGCCACTTTTTTTAACAATGCAACCCATTTTTTGTTGGAGAAAAGAGCTGTTTGCTTTGTACCCTAAGTGTTTATACTGACATAAAGACAAAGAAATATTTTATGTCTAGGTGTCTTCGGTGGCTAAGATCCAATGACTCTTCAAGTCTGCCCAATCATAAATTCCCTCAGAAAATGCTGTGCGACTGAATTTTGAAAGTCAGTCATAGAACAATGATAAGAAAATCAAAATCAAAACCAAAAAACTCTTACGGGCAACTACACAAATTAAGGCTTCTGTACAACCCAGACCCCAGGATACTGCCTGGCACACAGACTGGCACAGAGACTGTGCTCAGTGAGGATCTGGTGAATGGCTGGATGAATGAAACATTGTATAAATGAAATGTACCGACAAGTACCAATAATATGTAAACAACACATAGAAGTCAACAATCAGAATGAATCAGCATTAAAGTAGCCTTGAGCTTAGTAGAAGATAGTGTAACAGACATAATTTAATATGGAAGTTCCTAGGAACGTGTATAGGATTCATTGCCCTGCACATGGCCCTTTCTTCACTGAAGAACACCAACCTCAGACAGGAGGACATCCTTTGGAGGTTCCTGTTGTATCTGAACCACAGTAAAGGGGCAACCAGACCCAAGAAGCATGTAACAAGATGGCTCCTCACCACCCCAAGTGTTTCATTTTCACTTCTCCCCCATTAGAGAGACACATTAGAGTAAGGATGTTTGATCAGCCAGAGAAACACAAAGGGTTAGACGAGACAAAGGAGAGATTCCATACCCTGTGTAGCTTTTCCCTTCGCTCAGGTCCGTCCGGCATGCCCCGGAGGCTTTGTGGAATATACCAGAAACAGACGTTTGTATGCTCAGGCTGCAGAGATTTCACAAACAAGCAAATATACAAACAGAACAGAACATTATGAGAACTTGAGAGAAGACTCCTCCCAAACCCCTGTGGACCCAAAAATCAAAAAACAAAACAAGATAAAACATTTAAATGTTAAAAAATAATTACATTTGGGTAGTTTCAAAAAAGGGTATTATCTGTTTTGTAGTGCCTCATAGCTCCAAGATGCTCAAAACACTATTTTATTGATAAGTGAATCTTTTATTGAATTTATTATATTGATACCGAATCTTTTCTTGACTCAGGGTTATCACAATGAACATTAATACTGGTTCTAACCCATAAGACAGGACTAACTGTGACGCCTAGAACTCTTTAGTGTCCCTTGAAGACTCCTATGTTTTTTAGTTTTCCTGTATTCTTGCTACATACTGTTTTTCAGTTTCCTTCCTAGTTGCTGTTTGCCACCATTGTTCCTCCTCTGACTGGCTAGAGACATCACACTTGTCTTTAATCTGCTAACAGAATGTCTAAAACAGCGTGAACGGTCCGAGTGAGGTCCCGCGGGTGAAATGCATGAGCGCCGTATCAGGGATTTGAACTGCTCAGGGCTCTTTCTTCCTCATTTGGTGATTGTCCAGTGTGTTCCCACTAGTCTAGACTACCTAACAGATGTATTAGGCTGACTGCAGGTGGTGTTATATGATACTGGGTTGTGAGTGGATTTTCTTTTACTCAACCCTGGCTCCCGTTCAATGACAGAAACTCCCTTTAGCCAACCGCAAGCTCCGTCAGGGCAGAGACGGTATCTGTTTTGGTCACTACTATGTAACTCCGCTCCTGGCATGGGGCCTGGCACACTGTGGATACTCAGTCAATACTGGTATGACAAATACTTCACTGTGTACCATATAGGTAGGAACTCAGGGCAGAGATGATTGTACCTTGCTCTCCTCATAATCAATCTATGTAAGGTCGAACTTTATTTTATAACCAACCTTGGGAGACAAGGAGATACCCATCCTATAAGCTTCTTGAAACTGAGAAATGATTTATCCTGGAGGTTCAACATAATAATAAGACCACCCCAAATGGCAGAGGATTCAGACCTGCCAAGGAGAAACCTCTTGTCTGCAAAGAGGTGAAGGGGAAAAGTCATCCCTATGTGACTGGAAGAAAAGTTCGCGAACACAGAAAATTAAATGGATGGTGCATAAGAATGAAAACTCCGAAACAGCTTTTGGCAACGTGGGAAAACATGGCTTTAGGAACTTCCCTCAACAGATTTTCTGGAAATGCTGTGTGTACATCTACTCCATGATAGTAACTCACCTCACCATTGGAAACCATCTCAAATTCCTCTCTGTTTTTAATCTTGGCATAGAGGTATTCAGCCAGTTCTAAGCATCTGTTGATCTGATTTTCAAATCCCACTGTTCCCTGTTTAAAAAAAAAAGTTGAGTTTGTTGGTGAGAGGATATATTTCCCCGTGATGGGCATTGAGAAGGCTGTGCTGTCCCTGCCTACTGGGAATAGACATAATATTCTTGGAGGTGGAGTTTGTTGGTGAGAGGATATATTTCCCCGTGATGGGCACTGAGAAGGCTGTGCTGTCCCTGCCTACTGGGAATAGACATAATATTCTTGGAGGTGGTTAGGAAAAGATCTAACTGCACAGTTTGTTCACAGCTCACAGCTCTGCATATAGAAAAGCCAAGTGTGCCTGTTCTTGGAAGGCATCCTCGACTCTGGGCATCAGTCATTCTCAACAGGGCTTTTAGTTTCCTGCTAGTTATTTGCAGCCTGGACCTGAGCCTTTTTCTGGTTTGCTTTATGATAGTGCAAACTGGACCTGGTCCACAATAAAATGAGTACAGGGATTGAGATTAAGCAATAAACCCTGGCCGGTTTGGCTCAGCGGTTGGAGCGTCGGCCTGCGGTACAGAGAGACCCGGGTTCGGTTCCCGCTAAGGGCACGTGCCTCGGTTGCAGTTTGTCCCTGGCCCTGGTTGGTCGTGCGGGTGGCAGCCACTCGATATGTCCCTTCACGTCGATGTTTCTCTCTCTCTCTCTTCCTCTCTCTCTCCCTCCCGCTCTATCTGAACAAAAAATGGAAAAATGTCCTCGGGTGAGGATTAAAAAAAAAAAAAGAGAGATTAAGCAATAAGAAACTTTTATAGCAATGTCACAGAATAATTTTAATGTCTACTGAATCTAATTTTAAAAATTGGTGTTTGTGTCCTGGCCGGTTTTGCTCAGCGGTTAGAGCGTCGGCCAGCGAACCAAAGAGTCGCGGGTTCAATTCTGGCCAAGGCCATGTACCTCGGTCGTGGTTCGTCCATCTCTGGCCCCAGCTGGGGTCGTGTGGGAGGCATCCAATCCATGTGTCTGTCTCATGTTGAAGTCTCTTTCTCTCTCTCTCTTCTTCCCTTGTCCCTCCCACTCTGTCTGAAGATAAATGAAAAAATATCCTTGGGTGAGGATTAAAAAAAATGGCATTTGTATCTTGCATGTTTTTTTTATTTCATTTTTCTAGCAATTCATCTTTATTGTATTGATCTACAGATTTAAAATGCCCAACTGGCTCTTCACCACAGATAGTGTGAGGAACACTACTTTAGAACCCACCTTCCCAGCAGCGAGTCCTGGTCAGACAAGTCCCCCATGCTGCCAGGCAGGCTACCTCCCATGCAGCACAGCATGATCCCTTCATGGGGACGGGCAGGCGGGCACGTAGGAAAGCCACTGGTCTCCATACATGCCCCGAGACCGAAGAAGCTCCACCTATTGACAAACTGGTTGAGCACAAGATTCGAAAGCCAGCAGGGCTGATTAACAGCAGCAGAGTGGAGACTGTTGAGTGGGCCAGTGTTAACAAGAGCAGACCACGAGGCAGAGCAGCAGCCAGTGCTGGGCACGCACGCCAGCCGGGCCACTTGCCACTGGGGAGACCGCGTGCCCAGGCCCCTCAGCAACCAGTTCTCTAGGCGCCAAGCTCCCAGCAGATGGTTCAAGAGGTTATTTTTAGGCAAAACAAAGATGCAAACTGCTGAGACCGTGTGGTTCTTATATTCTAAATGACAGGGCTCTTTCTCTTGTTGCTTACAGCTATTTATATGCTTAAAATACCTTTAATAACTTTGTGGCAGACATCAAATTCAGACTATTTCTATATGAAGACAAAAATGACCAAACAGTGGGAAACATCTAATAATCTGTCAAATTCTTCCTACAGAAGAAATATTTGACTAGGTATTTCACTGAAAAGCCTTGTGTAGTATTAGTTAGATCCAATCTTTTTTTTTTTTTTTTTTAATTCTCACCCGAGGACATTTTTGCATTTCTTGTTCAGATAGAGTGGGAGGGAGAGAGAGGAAGAGAGAAAGGGAAACATTGATGTGAAAGGGTCACATCGAGTGGCTGCCACCCGCACGACCCAACCAGGGCCGGGGACAAACTGCAACCGAGGTACGTGCCCTTGTCCGGAATCGAACCAGCGACTTATGAGTCCGCGAGCCAACGCTCTAACCACTGAGCCAAACTGACCAGGGCAGTAATTTTATCTTTATCTCTTTCTGCACATCTGCACTAAATAACTTCAGCATCCCTAAGGATTGCCGTGGAAGTCCATATTTTGGCATCAATTTTAGTTGTTCTGAGAGAAAGTTATAAGAAAACTTCATACTAATTCAAACTGAGGAGACTAAATGGAGAAAGGGAGACTTTGACATGAGAAATAAAGTGATTTCATTTGCAAAGAAAATACAGTTAACTCAATTATCTGGGTATTGACTGAACATACAGTGAGTTCTCCGTGACACATCTTTGCCTCTCTTTTGCCAGCCTGTGCAAATTACATTTGTGCTCTATTTCCTGAATTCCCTTTTTCGTACCTTTGCTTTCCACATCAGCCAGAACTTGAAAATGTCCACGTGACGGCCACACTGAATTGCCTTGTCCCCAGTGTCATAGGAGACATCGTATTGCTTGTCTGGCTGGAAGAGGTAGCCTGCACACATCTGGTTGCATCCTTGAAGTATCCCCTATCATGGAAATCAAGACAGGCGTGCAGGTGTATTCAGCGGTCAGAGCTGCGGATGGCTTTGAGACGGGGCTGGACGGACTTGGGGTCACAGGCAACCTTTCTAATGTCTTACGAGGTCTTGCACCTGTTCTCACATTCTTCTCTAAAATTGCTCTTGGAAAAACCTTGGCCCCTTTCCCTCTGTCACTCTGATTAGAAAATCGTCTTTTGGCTCAGATGCCAACAAGTACCCCACTGTCCCACTGAGGGGCATTTGGAAATATGGGTGTTTGGGGTTGTTTCAAAGTCTGGGAAGTGCTATGGCATTCGGTGGGCAGGAGACAAAAGCTTCCTGCAGTGAGTGGGACAGCCTCACGTTGTGAAGAATTTTCCTCCCCCAAAGCATCCCCTAAAAAGTCTTCCCGTCTCTTCCAGGACGTCCCATGGAGCTGACAGGACTCTAACTAGGAGTGGCATAAAAAGCGCAGGCAGGTTCGGGCTCCTGCGGGTCAGGGACGTATGCCTCAGCGTGCACACGTTTCCTTGGAGGCCAGGGTCCTGATAGCAGATGCTTCTCGAAGGGAATGCACCACTAACTCACGTACAGAAGCTTTTTGGTCAGTAGTCCTTGTTACTCTGAGATGACGTGTGTGTAAATGTCAATTTTGTCTCAGTTCTTGGGACCACAAATGCATGCTAAGGACTTAAAGTATGTCCCAGTGACCACTTTTTTTGTCCTTACTGAGGTTCCAACAGCTGTCACTTTTGCTTGCGCAAACATGAGGAATGTGAGATGAAAGGATGCCTGTTGGTTCCGGTCACTGCAGGCCCGAGCACCAGGGGAGGAAGGGCAGCAGAGAGCAAAGAGCCCAGGGGAGGCGTGAGGCGAGCTAAACACTAGCAAGGGCAGGAAGGAGCAGCAATGGCCACACTAACGGGGTGTCCACTGTGTGCCTTTGTCACCAAGCACTGTAAAAAGACCCCATGCTCTTCCTGTGCCTTCTAAGGATGTGCGGGTCACCAGCTCCTCTCTGGAGGAGTACAGACCTTTTCCTTGACGAGAATGGCGGAGCATTGCAACAGCACGCCCATCATCTTGTGAGGGTTCCAGGTCACTGAGCTGGCCCTGAAAGAAACACATGACACCCTGAGAAGAAGGTGCAGGAATCAGCAAGAGGCGACTGTCCTCTTCAGGAAAATACCTATCGCAACCCTAGGCAGTCCATGGTTTTGATGCCTAGTCCCCCAATTTGACTCACCAACTGGTAAACACTTGTTTTGCAGGCTGTCTGAGTACTAAGTTGCAGACTGCCCCTTCTAAACAACTGTTATTAATAACTATTATTAAACGATTATAAACTATTATTATATAACTAAACAGCTATTATTAATAATAGCTAACATGTATGAAGAATTTATTGTGTGTCTTATTCCCGTGGGAGCTTGACGGGCATTGCCCAGCATGGTGTCATGGTTAAAAATGCCAAAGTCTGGAGCCACACTGTCCAAATCGGAATCCTGGTTCTGACACCTGCTAGTTTGGGCAAGTTACATAACTTCTCTGTGCCCCAGTTTTCCCATCTGTAAAATGGGGAGTATTTGTCACAGAATTGACTAAAGGAGAAATTGAGTTACTAAATATATGTTGCTAATAACTGTGCCTTGAATACTTAGTTCTCCAAACAACCCCATGATGTAGGAACTATTGTCTATTTTAGATGGAGAAGCTAAGGCACAAATGGCTTAAATATATCACCCAAAGGCAAACAGCTAGGAAGCGTTGGAGCCAAGATTCAAGACCAGGGAGTCGAATTGCACAGCCAGTGCCTCTAACCCTCCACCAGGCTGCCTCCCTCTAGACAGCAGACTGGCTTCTTCTGCCTTCCTGTTCTTATTTATAAAATGGACTGGGATGCTAACCTACCTACGTCTGAGGGGGTATGAAGAGTGACACTGAAAAGCAAGGATCAATTAGACAGTTCTAGACTTCGACTACTTAGCAGCTTTGCTTAAATGCCAGTTTAGGCTGCAGCGATAGTTTAACAAGCATGGTCTCTTAGCAACCTCATCACTCTGTCAGACACAATTAAATGGTTAAGTAGCACACTAGCTAGGACATTACGGAAACTACTAGGGGTAATGTATGATGATGAAGACTTGTGTAACTTGCTTCGGTGGTTTACAGACTCCTTCCCAATGGCCTGGCCCACAGCTGGGCCCTGCGCTTTGGTACCTGGGAGGGGTGTTTTCTCCGGACAGGACAATTGGCTCCGAACTATACTGACTCTGCTCTCCCTAGAGCTAAATCTTTGCTGTGAATTTTTAGCCTCTTTATCTCGCCTAAGTCCTTTAGAGGGGAAATAATTTTGTGCATACTGTGATGATAGGGTGTACATTATATTTCAAAGACAAGCGAGAAAGGCCTGAAGTCCTGTCCCCCTTGGTGTATTATAAAGAAAACCTTTGTGAAAGAGACCTATGAGAAGTTCCCAGAAAAGTTGACTAAGTACTTATCTCATTAAAACACACCAGGATGTCGAGTCGTATTAAAAAGGTAGTTGATTTAACCACTTTTCTCATAGCTATCCCCCCGAGTCATTAAAAATCACATTTAGATCTCATAAAATGCCTCAAATTAAGTGGTTTTTTGGGACTGTCCTAAAGGGCTGAAGTACATGATTCTTTGCTGCTACAAGTGGAAAGTAACAAGACATGATATGGATTCCATTTCCTTCAGAAGACATATGTGCTTTAAAAAGTTGGATAAGGAAAAGACTAGTGCAAAATGTTTCATGTTTCCCTACCAAGGAGGGAAAACGAAGACTGCCCGGGAAGTGTGAAGCGCAGCTGGACTGGCTCATCCATATCTAACATATTATCCTCCAAGTCACAGTCGAATTGCTGTGCTGCAAAGAGTCAGTCCCACTCACCCTGACAACGGCCTTTCAAAACTGGACCGGAAGGGACGAGGCACAGCAGAGGTAACAAAACCGCAAGCCAGAGCCCCTTCGGTGAGAGAGCCCTGGTGAGCTTCCCGAAGCTGGCTCCCCATCCACTCTCCAACCTCATCTGCTCTCACCTGTCACTTTGCTCCAACCACCCTGGCCTCTTTGATGGCCCTCCAACTTACCAAGAACCAAGTCCTGCCTCGGGGCCTTTGTATTTGCTCTTAAACCACTAGAATACTCTTCCTTGTATCCTTGCGTCCTATCTCCCTTTATCGGCTGAAATGTCACCCCCTCAGAAAGGCCTCTGACTGCCCTGCCTCACACAGCATGCCTTGTCACTCGCTGTTATTTAACCCTGTTTTAGTTTTCTTTACTATGAAATACACTTGTTTATGAACATCCAGCCCACAGGAATGTAAGCTTCGGGAAGGTAAATCTCAGTTGATAACACCTTCCATGTACTGCCTTGTTTTCCCTGCATGCACCAGGTATGCATTTTATAGAAAAATGCTGTGCATGGCTGACTAAAGGCAGGTGAACAAGTATTCACATCCATGTCTGCCTGGCTCATGATAGGTGCTCAGTAAATATTTGCTGAATCAGTGGGGTCAATTGGGATCAATACATTGGAGGCAGGTGAAAATCATATTTGGCTTAGCACACCCACTGAGCTTGAATGGTGAAAAAGAAAATAAATAAGTTGGATGAGCTGAGTGTCCTACCCTTTCCCCAGCAGTAAGCTTAAGGACAAAGAAGAGTGAAATGCACAGTACCCCTTCCTGTGCCCTCGGCAAACTCTCACGTAACCTCCGAATCACCCTATTGCATGTGTTCTCTTCTCTCCTACCTGGGCCCCTGGCAATCACATCCATTGTGGCGCTTATCACCTTGGGTGGTAACTATTTGTTTACTTGTCTCTCTCTAAATTGTGAACTCAGTGAGGTGAGGTCTCATTTGACTGAGAAATCAGTCATTTTTGATTTCCCAATGCCTAGCACGCCACAGGTGCCCAATAAATGCTCCTGAGCAAAAGTGAGCTTAGTCAGGTTGAAATAAGATGCTGGGGACACCAGCAGACTCAGGGCACATCTTGTGTGATGCCAAGTGGAAGGAGGCCCCGAATCTGGCCCTTACCTTTCTATGCCACTGAGTTTATGGCGGTGCTTCCTGGACATGAGCAGCCCACCACCCCAGGCAGCCTGTGAGGACAGAGCACAGACAGGGAGGGGAAGTTGTGACATTTAAGAATCCAAACCAGTCATTCCACACCTCTACTAAAACATGAGAAAGTAAATGGTGAAAAACACCAGTTTCTCTGAAAAAAGGAACCCCTACTGGTCATTCAATCAGTGGCTGGTGTAATTCATCGTTTGTCATGTCTTTGAAAGTTCCTCCAGGTTGAAGTCAGATAGCTCCTAGTAAATCTGGTCTGAGCCCGTGGTGCCAAGACCCAAAGGCGTAGAGTGCTCCCAAAAGGCAGAGACAGGCAGTGAGCCCCCAGGTGGCTCTGGAAGTGACACAGAGGACTGGGCTGCCACCTGACTCTGCAGAGGGCAGAATTCTAAGAGCTTCTGCAAACTCAGAAAGCAGCAGCCCTGCCAGGCTTGGATGTCCCACCACAGCCCCTGCAACGTCAAGACATTTTTGTGGCTACCCCGTCACACAAATGTACTGAATAGCTTGGGACACCACAAGACACAAGGACAGCTTTGTCTGTCATTTGTTCAATAGTACTACAGATCACCCAATTGTCCAGGTGTGAGAAGCTATATCCATAAGAGAGTGGAGTGAGACCAAAAGGAAAAAAAACACAGCCAGTCACACATGAAAATGTATCTTTTGTGCTCCAGGGAAAATTTGGGACTAAACCTCTTAGTCGATAACACCTACCATATACTGTCTTATTTTTCCTACGGGTACCAGATATGTATATTTTTTTTAATCCTCACCTGAGGATATTCCTCCATTTATCTTCAGATAGAGTGGGAAGGGGAGAGGGAGAGAGTGAAAAAAAACATCGATGCGAGAGAGACTCACCGATTGCTCGCCTCCCACAGGACCCTGACTGGGGCCGGGGGTCAAACCACAACCCAGGCATGTGCCCTAGACTGGAATCGAACCTGAGACTCTTTAGTACTAGGGCCAATGCTCCAACCGCTGAGTCAAACCAGCCAGGGCCAGATATGCATTTTTTAAAGAAAAGTATCATAGATGGCTGGTTGAAGGCAGCTAGCTGAGCCATGGCCACTTTCTATACATTGTGTTTTTCTCTCTGAAATCTGTTATATTTCTCTCTGTAGCTATTTGTCCAGACAAAAGCTACCAGAAAAGGTGATAGGGACCATATTCTTTTTTTAAAAATTCTCACCTGAGGACATTTGTCTATTTATCTTCAGATAGAGTGAGAGGGAGGGAGATGGGGAGAGAGAGAGAAGCATCAATGTGAGAGAGACACATCGACTGATTGCCTCCCACACTACTCCAACTGAGGACGAACCACAACCAAGGTACATGCCCTTGACTGGAATCAAACCCACGACTCTTTGGTCTGTGGGCCGAAGCTCTAACTGCTGAACCAAACCAGGCAGAGTTAGAGACCAGATTCTAAAATGAATCCCAGAAGACAGCAACTGGCCGTAAGGACCTGGACGAGTCCCAGAGGAGGTACAGGCCTCTGGTACGTCCAGTCTGGGAGCCAGAGAAGAGTGGAAGTAATGGGTGTGGAGAGAGCCAGCTGGGGCGTGGTTGAAGCTTGGGGTAAGTCCCAAAGCAGAGCTGCTTGCACCTTGGATTGGGCTGGGCCACTCCGTGAGTTATAACACTTACATCGACATGCAGCCAAAGGTTATATTTCTCACATATATCTGCAATCTCCTGTATCGGATCAAAGGCTCCATAAACAGTCGTGCCAGCAGTTGCATTGACATAAAGAGGAACATATCCCTACAAGGCAAGAGAGACAGGCGAATTAGTCTTTTTTTTTTTAAATCCTCACCCGAGGACATTTTTGTATTTATCTTCAGATAGAGTGGGGGAGAGAGAGAAACATCCATATGAGAGAGACACATTGGCTGGTTGCCACCCACACGACCCCAACCAGGGCTGGGAACAAACTGCAACCGAGGCACGTGTCCTTAGCGGGAACCGAAACCGGGACTCCCCGGTCCTCAGGCTGATGCTCTAACCACTGAGCCAAACTGGCCAGGACTGATTAGTCTTTTTAACCTTCCTCCTTTCCACAGGAAGTAGATGAATCGCAGTAGCATTTAGTCACAGATCAGCTGTGATATCAGACAGTCTATCTAGCAGTATTGTTTACTCATTTATTCAACAAATAATTTTTGAGAGACGCTCATGTGCCAGCCCTGTTGCAGATGTGGGGAATACAGCAGTGAGAAGAACAGATGCAGGTTCCTGTCCTCGTGGAGTTTACATTCTAGTGGGCAGTGACCGGCAACAAACAAAAGCAAATAAGCAAAATATACAGTATGTTTGATATTGACATGTTCTATGGTGAACAACAAAGCAGGGAAGAGAAACAATACGTTTAAAGTGCTGGGCAGGCATTTCTGAATAGCATCTGGACATTGCACGTTTTAGCCGCTGTGTTATTCTAAGTATGCCGTTGTAATAATAATACCAAAGCATTGTTTGATTGCTTAAAACTGGTCTATACATTATGTCAGCAGTAGTGGACACTGTAAAATTTTGATGTGAACAAGAAGTAAGCGAGGGAGTGGAGTCCATCAGACTGGGGGAAATCTGTGAGTCTGAGGTTATACTGCAGCTCAGCTTCACCTCTGCTCCTTGCTCAGTCCTAATGACATCCCCACCCATCGCCCCTACTGAGACCCCAGCAAACAGCTACAGTGAGAGAAGGAGGCACAAGGGTGTGACCAACACGAGCTGGTAAACGGCCTACAGCTACGTGCCAGTGCCTTATGGAAATGTGTGTTCTGTGCGATTATTTTTTGTGTTTAATAGACTTTACTGAGGCAGATTCACCAAGTATCATGGGCCATCTCTCAGGACATGGAACTACTTTGTTAGAAAGAATTCTAAGCTAGCCCGGCTGGTGTGGTTCAGTGGTTGAGCGTCAACCCATGCACCAAGAGGTCCCAGTTCGATTCCCAGTCAGCGCACATGCCCAGGTTGTGGGCCCGATCCCCAGTGGGGGGCATGCAGGAGGCGGCCAATTGATGTTCTCTCATCGATGTTTCTCTCTCTCTCCCTTCTCTCTAAAATCAATAAAGAATCCTAAGCTAAAATAATATTTGTTAAAATGAGATTATATCTAACAAGTAGTAAGTGCAGACCTCAATAGGCTGTATCTTCATGGTGCTTGGGTAGTGGATTTATTAAAGCACATCAAACTAATCATTTGGCACAATAAATACAGGACAAGTGGTTTAATGACTGAATTTTTCATTTAAAAAAAAAACTGATATGGTATATACACAGCCTTAAAGCCAAATCATCTCACAAGTTGAAAATAAACACCTGGGAATAGACTTTTAGAAACATAATAAAATAATTTCTTATATTAGCAAAATTTTTTACTGTCTACAGCAGAAGGAAGGTATTTTTAAAAAGTCGTATCCACCAGAATTTGGATGTACCACAGAGTACATACCTTCTGCTTGGCTTCAAGAATTTTTGCCTCTAAATCCGCAGGAATTATCTTCCCCCTGTAATTATTATAAAAGGAGAGAAACGAAAATGAAGAATCAATGAGACTGCACATGAAAAAAACTTCAGCCGCAGCAAAAAGTAATTTAATCGGATATTTTCAACAGACCATTAGCAGCTTGGCACACTGTACTGAGTCAGTCCTTAAGCACAATAAAACAAATTTAACAGATGAACACATTTAATACATCAAGAACCTAATAGTCACTCTCCCCTGCCTACCTTTCATTGCACTTTATCAAAATCACATTGTCGGTTCCAAAGCCAAGTGCAGCCCCAGCCTTTTTTATGGAATAGTGACTCTGCAACAAACAGAGGCTTGAGATTAGATGTTAGACAGTCCCTTGGAAAACACCACAATCCATGAGCAAGAGCACCCAACTCACATGTTCTGAGGTGAAGAGGACCAGTTTGGGCACAGCCGCCATGCCCTTTGTCTTGACCTCCGGGAAGTACTTGTAGCGAGCAGCCATGATGCTGTACATGTTGGATATGGCTCCCCCTGTCAGCAAGCAGACACATGGGAGGCGTTGGAGCTCCTTCATTAGTGCTTCTACCAGCAAGGGCTCTGCTGGTGTCTCAAGAGATGAGGGAGGTGAGAAAGGGGAAGGACAATATCCTGATAGGTTTTAATGGCTTCCCTATTACCAGGGCTTCCCTCTGCACCCTTTGCTCTGGGGAAACAGCAGTCACACTACCGAAGCCATCGAGGCGATTTGGCTGGAGGAGAGTCACGTACTCCAGTGCCCGCCCCACCTGAAGCCTAGACAGAAATATAAGAGGTGGCAGTGGCTGTAAAGAGACAGGTGAGTTACAGCTTCCCTGCTTCCGCTCTCTGCTCCATCTGTTACTGAACAAAGATGAATTTGTTCCCCAAGTCAGAAAGAGAGAATAATGGAGCCTACTGAAGGAAACAGTGACATTGCCTGGCTACTCCTCAAAGAACAGCCCAACTGAGTCATTGAGGAGAGATCTAAGTTGATTAAAGTGAAACCAAACTTGTGTTTACTTAAATAAAGCCACAAGGAGAACTGAGGTAACTAGGTATATCTGGCCACACAAACTAATCACTTTTGCATTAATTACCAGACAATTAAACAGGCAAATTGGTGGTTGGCTTGAATTGCCTGGACAAGTGCAATTCTTTTGTTTGTTTGTTTTTAAAATATTCTTTCTTTATTGATTTTTAGAGAAAGAGGGAGAGACAGAAACATTGATGAGAGAGAACATTGATTGGCCGCCTCCTGCATGCCCCTCTCTGGGGACTGGACCCACAGCTGGGCATGTTCCCTGACTGGGAATCGAACAGGTGACCTCTTGGTGCATGGGTTGATGCTCAACCACTGAGCCACACTGGCTGGGCATAAGTGCAATTCTTATTTCTTCTTTTCCTCTTGTACACAATCACATTGTCCCTGACACCAATCCAAACTCTTTCCTACCTCCAAAAACATCTGTCCTTGTTATAAAAATTATTATCGTATCCATATTGAACTAGAGATTCAAAGTAGATAAACTATTTTGGCAGAAATCGATTAGTCAATTGACAATCTTGAATCACTGATCCTCAGCTTAATCTACCTGCTATTCACAAACCAGAGACTTAGCATAATTTAGACATAGACTTTGTCGGTTTGGACAGGTTTAGGCACAGCCTTTGTTGATTAATACACATAGAATGTAGCATTCTTGCCAGACTTCACCCTGACAAAGATAGGAAGGCAGAGTATCCCAAAAAATATTTTTAAGGGTCATTGTTCTTCCACAAACCCACTCTGTGGTTAGTGTTCTCAAAAGGGTCCTAAGGATCCACACTACAAACCTGGAGGAGAGGCAGGGAAAGAGAAGCAAAACTTACCAGGAGAAAAGATCCCATCACCATCTTTATTTGACCATCCAACTATCTCTCTCATCTTCTTAAGTGTTATTTGCTCCATGAGGACAAACACTGGAGCAATTTCATAAGTAAACCTGGAAAGGTGGTAAAAATGAATGAAACTAAAGAAGCCAACCACTTATTTGGGGAATACAGATGACTGGTTTAGTACAAAAAAGAGGTGCAAAACACTAAAACAATTCATTTCCTGGAAATGCATTAAGTCACCAATCATAAAATGTCAGAAACCAGCCTGGGCTACCTAAAGAGGTGATTGAAGTAACTGCTCTGTGATTTTTCATCAACAAAATAGATTCTCATTAAATGAAATGTCTTAAGTGTGGTCCACCCAAAGAAATATAAAAAAAGAAAATGACTTTTCTGGGTCCCTTTCACCCTAAGACTGTAGGATGATGCAAATGTTAACTGGAAAAAAAAAAAGTATTCTAAGTTCTATATAAAATTGGTTTGAAACATTGAAAAAAACCTGACTGCCAATTTCACACTTGTAGAATCTACAAAACCCAGAGCCAAACTCTATCTTTTAAAAATAATGTAAATATCTGAAAGCTAACTGTGAAGATAATTGGAAATATTGACCCAGGTTTTAAAGATCTCAATATAATTATCTACATGGTTTTTCTACTGAGAATCCTCAAGGACAGATATGTTTCTTAGTTCTCTGAAGTCGATATCTGTCAAGAATAATTATAAGTGATGATTTTCTAATTACCAATTATAAATAACAAGAAGATGGTCAATTGACATAAACAGCTAACTATGGGCATGAGATACACTGGTAGGTTAGCTTTGTCGTCTAACAAACTGATTTAAAAGTAGCAAACCATGCTCTCCTCAAAGCAATTCCAAACAGAGCATGGTCTGGTAAGGTGGTCACTGAAACAAGATCATGGTGCCATGCCTAGGGCTTAAGAGAAATCAGAGAAAGTGTATCCACAGAAAACTGAGCCAGAAAACAAAACGACATTTACTGACTCTGAGGCTCTTTGTCTTTCTTCTTTTTGCTTGATCTCCCCAAGCATTGGAGTCCGTGGGCTCAGCTCAGACCATGCTCACTGAAGAGAGATGCCTAGATCGACTCAGCCGAGTCTATGGGGAGACCTTATCACTGGATAGGGTGTTTGAGCTGAATGCCAATGCTGAGGACTAATGGGAATTCTTGTTGGCTTAATGACTTAGAAAATCTATTTGCAAGGATGAGATAACAATTGTATATAAGTCACAGGTGAGGCTAGTAAGTTTTAATCATGGAGAAGAAAGAAATCACATTAATCACACGACTGTAAAAGAGGATCCTCGGGATACATCTGTTGGTAGAAGAATTTTGTCTCCAAAAAGAATATGTCCATTTTCCTTAGTTGGGCCCTTGAAAGTTAGGAGGAAGACCCTTGGAAATCATGTGTTCAGTTACCATCACCTCGGAGGTCACAATCATGCTTTGGTTCTGCTCTGAGCCCCATCACCGTAGCAACCAACACTCCCTCATGTCTGATGGCCTGATAAAGGAAGAAGAAGAGAAGGATTCCTGGTTTAGCCGGGGCGGCTGAGTGTACCAAGAGTCAAACTCATGATGCTCTTCTAAGCATTCTTGAACAAATGTGTTAACAGTGCCATTGACTTTTGGAAATGTTAGAATAGCAAAAATGTTTGCATGGTGAATAGGTACTGGTGGCAATCTGTGTTCTGGAATCTCACAACAGGCGAGGAATGTGAAATTATATACAATAGTATCAGAATCTTACCAAGGATTGGATGGAAGCTGAGTTGAAGTCAACTCAGTGTTAGATGGCCAGGCAGGAGCACATGGGGAAGGGAGGTGGGATGGGACTTAGGGCCAGGGGGTTGGTCTAGTTCATGATTTGAATCAATTTAGGCCCCAGGCTTAGCCTTAGAATTAATCTTTTTACTTAAGGACCAGGAAGGAGCAAGACCATTACTCTCAGGAACAAGAGAAAGAGTCTAGAGAGTTTGATCATGAGATTATCTAATCTTATCTTTTTCAGATTCCTTATTTGTGCCAGGTATCCAATTCATAAACCTTTTATTCAGTTCTGTTTAATAAATGCCTACTGAATGACTACTCTCTGTCAGGTGGCACCTTACATGCTGAGGACACAGAGATGTTATAAGACACCATTTCCAACCTTGAGGAAGAAGCTTATGAGGATGAATCCAGCACCAAGCTGTTGGCCTTCAATGCATCCTGTTTGACAGTTCTTGCCTGGGTCTGAAAGACCAGTTTTTTCACAGCTCAGACCAGTTTATCCTGATTCATGACCTTAGTCCTGACATCCTCTCTTGGAAGCAGATAGATTGGTCCACAGCTGCTGATCCTCAGCCAGGCCTGACAAATGGGCTGACATGGTGCTCCCTGTGTCTGACATTTCTGTGACCCTGCCTCCCCATCCTGGGCTGTGTTTACAACTGGTAGTCTGCCTGCACCCAAAACCTTATAGAAGGCCTTGAGTTCACCCTACAGCAGTGATTCTTAACTTAATTGGGGTCATAGACCCCTTTAGGACTTGCCAGGAAGAAAATGAGGACATGTACATCATTTGGTATACAGTTGTAGGAGACACCTCTCTTGCCACCTGACTCCAGGTTAGGTACCCCTTCCCTAAATGACAGACAAAAGCAGATAAAGTCAAGAGATCAGGGGTCAGATATGGATTCAGAAGAAGCTGGTTAGATGCTAGAGTACAAGATTATATTTCAGAATCATAGAACAAGAAACTAAACCTGCAAAAAGCTCTAAGTTGAAGCATAAGAACATGGGATTGGATGTAAGGATGTAAAACAGTCACGAGTGACACTGAGGAAGACTTCTGGGACTTTCGATGTTCTGAGTATGGTAATGAGTCAGCCTTTTTTTCGTGGCTCAACTCATCTTTCCAGAGGGATTCACTCAGAACCCAGAGAAATGGATTAAGAAGCTATATTTCTCGGGGGCAGAGTCTGCTGTTTGCTAACCAGTATCAATCTTCTTTTGCTTCATTCAATTTTATTTGGGGTGGCAACTCACCCAGATCAAAGACTACGCTTCCTAGCTTCCCTAGGTGTGGCCACGGGACTAGATTCTGGCTAAAGAGATGCTGCAGGAAACCTGTGGAGCTCCTGAAGTTTCTTGGAAAGAAAGAGTGTGATCCACGTTACCCTTCTTCCCTCCCACTGTCCCCTCCCTCCTTGAGGTCTGTCCCCTCCCTCCTTGAGGTCTGAGTCAGGGGTGTGGCGCTAGAGCTCCAGCAGCCAGCCTGCGCCATCAAGAGACTAACTCTGAGGATGACAGCCACATGCTACAATAGGGATGAATATGGCACAAGGAATCTGGATCCCTGGTGACTGCCAAACTGGAAGGTTCTTAATGAGAAAAAGAAAGACATTGTTATGCTGACCATCTCGACACTCCTCTGTACAGATGTGGCAGGTGGCCTATTTTCATCTTAAAAGCTAACACACCTGAGGGGAGCTTAGTGAGCCCTTCTGGTGTCCAGAGATGATGAGAGACAGAAACAAGAGCCAGGAGGCTGAAGGGAGGGGTCTCAAATGACAACAGTGACCTGTGGGGTGGCTGCCTTTCCTTGAGGGGGTGTGTGTCCCCTGCACCTTGCTTTCACTGGGCACCTCAGACTGGTGCCCTTTTCAGCCTTCAGAACCACTCTGTAGGGTGGATATTATTATCCCCCATTTTCCTGAAGAAGAAACTGAGGTTCAGAAAAATCCAGTGATTACTTTTAGGATCTCGCAGTTAGTATGTTTCCCAGTCAGAATTCCAGGTCCTTCCCACCACACTGCTTTTCTGTGACAAACGAGAACTGCTCACAGCAGGCTCCTCCCCGTCTGCCCAGGGGTATAACATGACCAATAACTCCCACGGAAAACTTCTCCTGTGTAATTTCTATGAAAATAAAGCACTAGAGAGTTGAAATCATAACCTCATAACAAATGGCTGTGATAGATCTCGCCATAAAGATTATGTATTGTGCTCAGGTACTTGTGGGCACTGCTCACCCTGCACAGTTGTGCTTGGTGGCCTGTTTTGGAAGAAAAGAGTTGTACATGTCATGGACAACCATACGTTTGTGAAGCTTTCTTTGGATCTTCACTGGGTCCTTGCTTGGAAGAATATATCTCAACGATATATGCACAGGCAGGTGTAGACGCATGAACATAAAGGTTCTTTTTATTCCAGCAGTCAGATACCTAACACTTTACCACTTGAATTAGGATCTTGGGCATTTCTGAGGAATACAGTTATTATTTCCTATCGCCAGTGCCACCCAAACTTAATGCTGGTGCAGGTCAAAAAAATGAGTATATCACTAATTTCTACTCTGCCAAAGAAAGAGCCTTTTGCCATCTGTTCTCAGACTTATCTTGAATATTGTTCCCAGTTGGAGGAGAAACTGTCACAAAGGGGCACATTTCTGTAGAAGCTCCTGACAGTGTGGCCACATTTCATGATCTTCCAGGGGAACTGGCTTAGAATAATTTCTGGAGAATAGTTATTACTTCTTCAGACAATGCCTTGTCTCCAACTGACAGAAGCTATTTCACTATTTTAAATAACCTTCTCTATTGATCTGTTGGAATCGGATCATATTTTATAAACACCCATTGTTCATTCAGTACAGCTGCAATTACTGTGTGCCATGTAGTTGGACTGGCCTTGACCTCAGATGGCTGGGACATATTTTAGTGTTTCATGACACAGCCGGGGTAAGGGAAGAATAAGGGACTTCGATTTTTATGAACCCATACAAAAAAAGGAGACTTTGTGAGAACTCTCTGGATGAAGAAAAGCCTTTCAGGAGAATATCTGGTCATAAATGGTTCAAAGGGCTGTGTTCCTTTTATTTACCTTGAGATTGGGCTATATATATTAGAAAATTGCCGCTGAGAGGCCTACAGAATACACACTTAAAGGCACTGGGTGAACACAGGCCTATATTAATATGGGTATTTGGGCCTTAACAGGTATGTATCTTTTCCTCTATATTTCTAATTCACTTTCCAAATAATTAAGTTTTTTTTTAGAAGCCATACTTTCTAATTAAAAGTGTTCCTTAGTGTGAGATGCTCCAATTAAGCATTAGTGCCTTTTCACATTATAATTAGTATATCACGATGTCTGTGCTTGCTCATATATTTTTATTTCACAAATCATACTACAGTAAAATTACAAAGGCGAGTTTTCTGTTTGAGGAGAACATCCCAGCAACTCTATCTTTGACCCGAATTCCTGTCTGCCCCTCACAGCCCCAGCCATCCAACGTGGACACTCCGTGAAGCTAACCGTGACTTGCAAGCAGGGAGCATGAAAACCATTTTCAATTTCAATCCATTTAATCTTTCACGCCTCTTAGCACAAAAGGCTTCACTTGTCACATTTGCTTTTAAAAATTTGTCATTGTTTTAAATTAGCAAACAAAGCCAGAATCCTTCATTAATAGAAACTTTTCTGAATATAGTTAAGTATTTTGAGACACAGCATTAAACAGCTTTGGAGCACACACGACTCAACAGTAATCTTAAAGTGTCCTTTCAGGTTTCGTGGCTGGGAGAAGATAAGAGGACCTTGAACTTACAGTCTATCTTGATGTCCAACGGAATTCTCATTTTAAATAATACCACCCTTTCATCTAAATTTATTTTTCAAATCTACTTTACCATTTAAATGTAAAAAATGGGTGATTATCTTCTAAATATTTCCACAGTCACTAAAATCCATATAATTCTTAGGCAGTTATTTTAGAATAATTGTAAGAAACTCTTTTCATTATTTCTCCTGGATACTTTAACAGAATGTGGTGCCGTTGTCCGAGTGTATAAATAGTGGTAAAACATCATCCTAGTGTTGAGAGGAAAGCTTATACTCAGCAGGCTATGATGACACTATCAACTTATCACCTGTCCTTGTCTCTGAAAAGGTTGTGCATGTAGAGGAAACTGACTGTGAGGTGACTGCCAGAAGGCTGCCCAGGTAGTACACGCACCCAGCCCCACCCAGGTAGTACACACACCTAGCCCCAGCCAGGTAGTACATGCACCCAGTCTCAGCCAGGTAGTACATGCACCCAGCCCCAGCCAGGTAATACACGCTCCCAGCCCCATCCAGGTAGTACATGCACCCAGCCCACCCAGGTAGTACATGCACCCAGCCCCAGCCAGGTAATACATGCACCCAGCCCCAGTCAGGTAGTACATGTACCCAGCCTCACCCACGACCTTAAAGTCAATTTCATATACTTTTACAAGAACTTAGAAACAAAAAAAGGCTTTGCCTACTCAAACAAGTATGGGAAAAAAGTAAAATTCAGAAAAACGAATAATGATTTTGAAAGGAATGTATCACGACCAGCTGAATTTTGTTTTGGAATCTTTTTTTTTTTATCTCACCCGAGGATATTTTTCCATTTTTTTGTACAGATAGAGTGGGAGGGAGAGAGAGGAAGAAACATCGACGTGAAGGGACACATCGAGTGGCTGCCACCCGCACGACCAACCAGGGCCGGGGACAAACTGCAACCGAGGTACGTGCCCTTAGCGGGAACCGAACCCGGGTCTCTCCGGACCGCAGGCTGACGCTCTAACCGCTGAGCCAAACTGGCCAGGGCTGTTTTGGAATCTTTAGTTAAGCAATAGGTTGATCGAATTAGTTTGTGGATTTATGGCAGCTTTAACGATAAAGGAAATACAACCGAAATGTAAGTTCCAATATGCCTGGATGGGAAAATGGACCAAGATCATACTCTAAAACATGACCTCTTTAGACACACCATTAACATGGAGTCTTTTTTTTTTTTAATCCTCACCCGAGGACATTTTTCCATTTTTTGTTCAGATAAAGTGGGAGGGAGGGAGGGAGGAAGAGAGAGAGAGAGAGAGAGAGAGAGAGAGAGAGAAACATTGACATAAAAGGGACACATTGAGTGGTTGCCACCTGCACAACCCATCCAGGGCCGGGGACAAACTGCAACCGAGGTACATGCCCTTAGCGGGAACCGAACCCAGGTCTCTGTGGACCACAGGTTGACGCTCTAACCGCTGAGCCAAACCAGTCAGGGCTATATATGGAGTCTTTTAACATGAAATTCACACTAAATTTTGAAAGCTAGAATTATTATTTCTTATAACTATACTTTTATTAAATTGTATCATTCAGTTAAAAATATTTCATCGGTTATTTACTATTAAATCAGCATAAACTTACTACATGTATAAGGGGATAAGCCTAAAAGATTGAAAGAGAAAAGATGACTAGGGTAATTGTAATGAATTATAGAGCCATTGGAATTGAAATTTTAAAGTCACAAGCCATAATCATACACCACGGTTGTTTATATGAAAATAATGTGAGGGACTTACATATTGGTATTGGCAGCTGATGTGAGCCATTCACCAGCTAATCCAATGATATCCAGTCCAGTGGAGAGCTGGTTGAAAAATCGAGGATGACCTAGAGAGGTAAGTAACAGGCAAGCATCAAGGCAAACCCAGATTTTTCAAGCTATCTTCAAAGCAAAGCCTGCTCTGCTAGGCCACATCGACGGGACCTGCACCCCCAGGGTCTAATAGGGCTGCCCAAGGCTATGGAGAAGGAAGATCAGGTTGACCCACCCTATACCAACTTTTAACATGAACGATGTCCCCCAAAGTTATATGTTTCTAAAGCATAATGCTTTTAAATTTAAAAAAATCCAATGTCACGAAACTAATAATCTTTCTTATACCTTAATTTCCAGATAAAATTCTTGTTGTATTTACTTTTTAAATTACAATTCAGAATGTAGCGGTCCTGAGTCTCCCCATAAATGTTTCAACCTTTAATTTAACATCTCAAGGATTTTATCCCCAAGTCAAGGTTTCCTAATGGAGGTGAGGCGGCAGGTCTCAGAGACCGTCTGCGGCTCTGTGGCCCAAGCCGAGCCCAGGAGAAGTGCCAGCTACGGTGGCGATGCCGAAGGCACACCGCCACTGTCTGGGTCTCTGTGTCAGGCAAATATGATGTCCGGCACTGGTGTGTTTGCCTATATAGAACCGAGTGACCATTAAACGTAAATTTATTGCTGAGATGACCTGGCATCTCCTCTATGAAATGGGCAGACACAGCCTCGTTCACTCATTTGAGTTGTTGGTAAAATAATCGTTATTATTATGTAACTTTGCAACCCAGAGTATGCTCTCAGCAAATGCAGGATTTTTGGCAAGTATTGCCCAACTTGGCATTCACAGGAAAACTCAACCCCACATCAGCAGGCTTGGCTGTCCCACAGGAGCCGATGTGATAGATGATCTAGGGGTATGTGACAGCGGACCGGCGTTAGAGAGATGTGCTGACTGCTGTGTTTCCAGCAGAAATTGCTCTGGCCTATGAGATAACTGTCAGAAAGCGAGTGCTTGGATGTCCCTCATCTGAGTGCCCTCTCTGAGAAGGTCTGTTCTTTCCCACATGTGATGGGGACTCATTCAGAACATCTGGGCGGTTACTTCTCATATCAGAACCGTCCCATCCTGCATCTCAGCAGTTCTCAAAAAACAATACTGATCTTTAGAAAAAATAAAAGAAGCATAAACATTAAGGTTAGTGTAAGTATGAGGCAGACTGCAGACATCGAGTAGACTACTCTGAACAACGTAAGCTCGCCATTTCACTCTACTCTGCTCAGGATCAACAGGATCTCTGAGATCACCTGCAACATCATTTTGTTGAAATTCATTTAGAAACACATATGACAGCCCTGGCTGGTGTGGCTCAGTTGGTTGTGTCATCCTGTGCACTAAAGGGTCACGGTTTCAATTCCCAGTCAGGGCACATACCCAGGTTGTGTGTTCGATCCCTAGCCAGGGTATGTAATGGAGGCAACCAATTGATGTTTCTCACATCGATGTCTCTCTCTCCCTCTCTCTTTCTCTTTCATCAATGAAAATCATATCCTCGGGTGAGTATTTAAAAAACAATAATAAAATAAATAAATAAATAAATAAATAAATAAATAAAGGATACCCATATGAAAACCTGTAACAACAAACCTTTCATGTTAATACAGGACTGAATCATAAATAAATTCAGTCACACTATCTGACAATGTGCCAAAGCCACGCGGCCTGGCAGAGATAAAAGATGGTCAAAGATAGACAGACAGACTGACTTTCAAATAAAAATGAAACAGTATCTCCTTCTTCGTTAAAATATAAAGGACACAAAGTCCCCTAAAACCTTACTTTTCTCTTATGGCTACAGCCTTATGCCCCCAAAATCTTATACCAGAATTTATATCAAGTAACAAAATGACCTAGTTCAAATTTCAATGTCGACTCTGTATTCCATGAAAACAGCAGGTGACAGACGTGGCTGAGCGGCACGTGGCTGAGCCGCATGTGGCCCAGAGTCAGGAGAGGGGGGTAAGAAAGAGCAAAGTTATAAAGTAAAGTATTTCAACAAATAACCTTGAAAAGAAAAAGAGAGCTGGAAGGGAAAATCTTTTTTGATGATGAGACACGTCAAGCAGTTGCAATGTGAGGCAGTTACTTGGGTCCTGACTCAAATGAATGACATAAAACAAAACATTTCTGACATTTATGAGACCTGGAAAATTTGAACACTGACTGAATAGTTGACATTAAGGAAATGTAAATTTTGTGGGGTTTTGGATGTAATAATATAGTGGTTATTTTTTTTTCTTTATTGATTTGAGAGAGAGAGAAAGGAAGAGGGAGAGAGAGATAGAAACATCAATGAGAGAGAACATTGATTGGCCGCCTCCTGCATGCCCCCAATGGAGACTTGGCCCACAACCTGGGCATATGCCTTGACCGGGAATCGAACTGGCGACCCCTTGGTACATGGGTCAATGCTCAACCACTGAGCAACACTGGCTGGGCCTATAATGGTTATTTTTGTTTAAAGAGCCCTTGATGGTGAAATATACTTATGGGTGAAATAATATTATGTCAGGGGTGTGCACCCATGTAACAGAGAAGAGGGGTGGGGGCGGGGGCGGGGGCACAGGGGAAACAGAATTGTCAGGAACTGATAATAGTTGAAGCTGGGTGTTGGGTATATAGGGCTCATTATACTATTCTACTTTTGTATAAGTTTAACAGTTTCCATAGTAGAAAGTTAAAAAGAAAAATTAAGGAAGCCAACACGTTTACTGTGACTGATGGCCGATTAGCATCTGTGTCAGTTCATGGACACTCTACATATACTGGTCTTTTTTCAGAAGTCTTTTGTTAATTTGTAGAAAAATCTCTGAATATCGTCATCATCCCTTCACAGAGTGTACCCAGATCAGCATGTTTTCAATATTAAACCTAACTCACTATTACGGCTGAGCATCAATGTCCTTTTTTTTTTTTTTTTAATCCTCACCTGAGGACATTTTTGCATTTTTTGTTCAGACAGAGCAGGAGGGAGAGAGAGGGAGAGAGAGAGAGAGAAACATCGATGTGAAGGGACACATCGAGTGGCTGCCACCCCCACGACCAACCAGGGCCGGGGACAAACTGCAACCGAGGTACGTGCCCTTAGCGGGAACTGAACCCGGGTCTCTCTGTACCGCAGGCCGACGCTCTAACCACTGAGCAAAACCGGCCAGGGCTCAATGTCCTTTTTTTAAAAAAGCTTCCACTGTGTGTAGCTATCTGTGGGGTTTACCCTATTGCTTTGGCAGCCACGTCTAAGTTAGAACCAGCATCCAGGAGCTGTTTTCACATGGCAGCCACATTACACTTTGCCAGAGTCAACACCCTAAGAGGTAACAGAAGGTTTCACACTGCCTGGAAGATAGTAAACTTTAAGATGCAAATATCTGCTCCCAGAAGCTGTTCAGAAGAACAGAGATGAATGGCTGCCGGGTGAATATCTAAGGGAATTCATACACTGAACTAATAAGAGTCCATGCTTCAGAGCCCAGAAGTAAATCCACACCTATATGGTCAATTAATATATGACAAAGGAGGCAAGAACATATCATGGGGTAAAGAGAATCTATTCAATATATTGTGTTGGGAAAATTGGACAGATACAAGGAAAAAAATAAAACTAGGCCACCTTCTTACATTATATACTAGAATAAACTCCACATGAGTTAAAGACTTAAATATAAGACTTGAAACCATAAATCTTCTAGAAGAAAACATAGACAGAAAAATTTCTGGCATTTCTCTTAGCAATATTTTTCCTGATATAGCTCCTCGGGCAAGGGACACAAAAAGAAAAAAGAAAATGGGACTACATCAAACTAAAAAGTTTTACACAGCAAAGGAAATCATTAACGAAATTAAAACACAACCTACTAAATGGAAGACAATACATTCAATAGGGGATTAATATCCAAAATGTATACAGAACTCATACAACTCAACACCAAAAAAACAAATAGTACAATTAAACAGTGGGCAGAGGACCTGAATAGACACTTCTCCAAAGAGGACATACAGATGGCAATGGACATATGAAAAGATGCTCAATGTCACTCATCATCAGAGAAATGCAAATTAAAACCACAATGAGATATCACCTCACACCTGTCAGAATGGCTATCATCAGTAAATCTACAAACAACAAGTGTTGGTGAGAATGTGGAGAAAAGGGAACCCTCATGCACTGTTGGTGGGAATGAACACTGGCCACTATGGAAAACAGTATAGGGAGTCCTGCAAAAAATTAAAAATAGAACTGCTCTATGACCCAGAGATTCCACTTCTGAGTATATATCCAAAGAAACTTAAAACATTAATTCAAAAAAATATATGCACCCCTATGTTTACTGCAGTATTATTTATAATAGCCAAAGATATGGAAGCAACCCAAGTGCCCATCAATAGATGAGTGGATAGAACAGTTTGGTACATGTATATAATGGAATATTCCTCAGCCATTAAAGGGCATGAAATCTTACCATTTGCTACAGCATGGATGGACCTAGAGGATATTATGCTAAGTTAAATAAGTCAGACAGAAAGAGACAAATACCATATGATTGCACTTATATGTGGAATGTAAAGAACAAAATAAATGAACAAACAAAATGGAAACAGACTCACAGACACAGAGAACAGACTGATTGTTGCCAGAGGGTAAGGGGATTGTGGGGGGAGGGGAAGGATGGGTGGAAAAGGTGAGGGGATTAAGAAGCACAAAATGATAGTTCCAAAATAATCACAGGGATGTAAAGTACAGCACAGGGAATATGGTCAAGGATATTGTAATAACTATGTGTGGTGTCAGGTGGGTACTGAAAGTATCGGGGTGGCTGCTTTGTAAAATACAGTTGTCTAACCACTATGTTGTACACTTGAAACGAATACAAAATAACATTGAATGTAAACTGCAATTGAAAAATAAAATTTTAAAAAGTGTCCATGATGCTTCAGTTTTATTGGCAATAGGAGTTGTTATTATGACAAATCCATGTATTTTCCTTTGAGGGACAACACTATTTTGGACTTTAGTGATAAAAGTACGAGGTCTCATCTCTCTGAGAAAGTGTATGTAGAGTGAGCTGGCAAAATAAACAACACTGGCCCAAAGCAAGTCAAGCTAAAACATACATGGAGGATTCCAATTCTTCTTATCCAGCCAAACACCACCACTTGATCTCCATAAGAAATGGGTTAGCCATCAGACACCAAGGTGAGATATAACTAAATTGATGAGTATGCTTTCCTTTAAAAATCAAAGACTTTGTAATATAATTAAGTCCTGTCCATCCTACAGTTACTCAAGGAAGCTACACTTATTCCAGTGGTGTTGGCAGACCTCAAAGGCTGTTTGGATTCTTTATTTAAAAATGCCTCTTGAGCCCTGGCCAGTTTGGCTCAGCGGTTGAGGGTCGGCCTGCGGACCAGAGAGTCCTAGGTTCGGTTCCTGTTAGGGGCACATACCACCAAAAAAATAAATAAAATAAAATAAAATAAAATAAAATAAAAATGCCTCTTGGGCCAGCCTCATTATTTCATTATAACAATTTGTTTTTGACATCTAATAGTCTTACTCATCTATGTCCCCACCAACCTTCCCAGTCATATGTTCAAATGACTAGGAAGAGTAAGAGGGATGATAAAAGAGAAGGAGAGAAAAAGAAAAGAAAAAAAGAACAAGGGGCTAACAGTTGTGGCCTTAGGGTCTCCCCTCTGGTGGCAATATGCCGTGAACTGCCAATTCCTTTACATCTATCTGCCCAAGACCTTAGGAGTGATTTCTTCTCCCTACTGCTCTAGGAGTTGAGCAGCAGGGAGAAGAAATCACTGCTCAACTCCTAGATTTCAACATCACTAGGCAGACATCCAAAAAGTCCTTGAACTTGAGGCAGTTGAAAAGTAACCACTTTCGCCCGGCCTGTGTGTCTCAGTGGTTGAGCACTGATCCATCCAAGAGGTCATCAGTTCGATTCCCGGTCAGGGCACATGCCCAGGTTGTGAGCCCGGTCGCCAGTAGGGGGCATGCGGGAGGCGGCCTATTGATGTTCTCTCTCATCCATGTTTCTATTTCTCTCTCTCTCCCTTCCTTTCTCTCTAAAAATCAATAAACAAAAAAATTATTAGGAAGGAAGGAAGGAAGGAAGGAAGGAAGGAAGGAAGGAAGAAAGAAAGGAAGAAAGAAAGAAAGAAAGAAAGAAAGAAAGAAAGAAAGGTAACTACTTTGGCCAGGATGCTGATAAGAAAGGGTTCACGTAACATGAAAAGGAGGCATGAGAGCATCCTCCAGACCTCTTGCTGGAGATAGGAGTTGGTGATCTAGGGTGTTTAAACTTCAGAGGTAGGAATAGAATTTGAAGTGTGTGTGCTTGTGTGTGTGTGTGTGTGTGTGTGTGTGTGTCTTTTTGGCCTACCCGATAGTAGGTGTTGTGGGTTAAATTGTGTCCCTCAAAAAGATATGCTCAAATGTTAACTCCTGGTGGGTGACTATTTGGAAATAGGTTCTTTGCAAATATAATCAAATTAAAAGGAGGCCATAACAAATTAGGGTGAACTCTGGTCCAAAGATCGGTGCCCTTATTAGAAGAAATTTGAACACATGCACAGGAGAATGCCAGTGAAGGCGAAGACAAAGACTGGAATGACGCGTCCACATGCCCAAGGAATATCCGCCAGAAGTTGGAAGAGGCAAGGATGGATCCGCCCCAAGATTCTCCAGAGAGAGCATGGCCCTGCAGACACCTTGATTTCAAACTTCTAGCCTGCAGAACTGGCAGAGAGTAAGTTCCTGTTGTTTTAAGTCACCCCGGTTGTGGTGATTTGTTATGGCAGCCTTAGGAAACTAATACAGAAAGGGAGAGAAATGGGCCCAACTCTCCCCAATTTCAGGGATAGGCAAGGTAGGATTTATCAGAATGAAACAGGCATGAAAATGGGTCATCCTGCTATCTTTAGGTTGTGAATAGCTTAAAACTTAGAATGAAAACTTTATACAGAAGTTGACACATACCGTGTACTGTCTATCTTTTCAATCTGCTTTTACAACAATAAATGATAATGGGCTTTTGCCAGGGTCGGAGCCTTCCCTGAACTGTCACTGACCGACATTGCCGTGTGGTCACTGAGCACTTTGCTGGCTGCCCTCACTAGGTCTGTGTCTCTCCCTCAAGGAGTCTGACATCCTCACAACTGGAAAAGGTGTGGTGCAGGGCAAGCTTGCCCCTGAAAGTCCAGCCTTACCTGTGCGGACCCCATACTTCAGGGTGTCTCTGCAGTCAACTAGGATCTGCTCCAGGGACTCAGGGTGGTCAGAGAGCTCCAAGTTGAAGCCCTCCATGCCCTCCAGCAGCTGGTGTGGGTGATGGAAGTCCAGCACCTTGGTGGAGCGGTCGAATGTCTTGCGGACATAGTTGAGGAGTATGTCCACCACCTCCAGGAGGAACTGCACAGTTTGCTCCTCCCCGTTCTTGGCTGGAAGCAGATCTGAGCAGGGGAAAGCCTATGAGTGGTTATCACTTGACTCATATCTGTCTTTCCTAGGCCCAGAGATTCCTGGTATCAGCCATGATACCTTTACAGGCTTAATTTCATTGCAAGGATACATAACACATGGAGAATCTGATGTACCATCTCCCCCCAAAGATGCACATAGGCATAGACACAGAATTTCTACACACATTTCCTGGGGGTTCGCAGACTCTCTGATAGTTAGGCTACTCATAAATGGAATGGAGAGCTTTGAGAAGCCATGAGCATCCTGTCACTATAGTTGCCCATTAGCAGGCTAACCAGACACCTATCAGGTTTGTGATGGAGGGGCTTTTGTCTTGCTCCCCTGGCCCAGGGGTGTCTCTGTACATCTGATTCAGACACTGGGCTTTTGGTTTGGTGTCATGATGTGCTTGATATGTTGATGGTGGAGGGTAAGGCCTCTGTAGGTAGAGACTGAGGTCTCCCCTGAAGAGGACGGTCCTTTGTGGTGTCCTTAGAAAGGAAACTAGAACTGGAAGATGGGACCCAGGAAGGTGAGAGGGGGAACTCCTACCTCTCTTTTAACCTCATCCCCTTGGGCCTGCACTTTGGGACGTCTGCAGGTGACTTTGGTTATTGCCTCTGTTAGGCAGTCAGGCTAGGGATTAGGGTGGAAAGCCATAGGGGGCCCCAAATGAGGCTGTCAGCCATAGCTCAAGAGCAGAGTGGTTATATGTGATGCTCTGTGTCTATTCTCTGGATTATCTCTGAGGTTTACTAAAGTCTTGTTTACTGTTCTGGTCTGGCCTCTCTGACTTGTGGGGAGTTCACGGAAGGGGTGGCGGTGGGTTTACCTCGGAGCTGTTTGGGAGAGAGACTGGTAAAGCACCTCCCGAGACCAGTGGTGTGGGGGAACAGTCAATAATGAAAGATCTCCAAAAGGAAAATGAGTTTCAGGACAGTACTTGGTCATGAGGTCCAGCCACACAGCTTCCCACAAGGTGATTTTGTCCTTGCTGTTGTTGCCAACCTTGGAGGATACATGCTAGTAAGGGAATTACCAGATTTCCTTGTATGCAACAGTCCTTTGCATTCTGAGATTCTGTGAATACATGTTTGTCCTTGAAAGTGTCATGAGAGTTGACTGTGTTAATGACTACCCTTATCCAGCTCCCAAAGCAATGAGTATTTGGGCAACAAGGAAGGAAGGATTCAAACACTGGAAAAGTATTTTTGTGATAGTTCAGAGAAAATAATGACCTTTTTGGTAAAAGGAGTAAAATTTCAGGGAAAAAGTCAAGAGACTCAAATAGGGAACCTACCAGACAGCACTAGGGCTGGGGGCACGGGGATAAGGGTGGGGTGGGGAGGGACTACCTCGAGCAAACAGGTTGGAGAAGTCGGTCTCCGTGCGCCTGAAATGGCCGTCCCTGTCGCTGTTGTCACAGGAAACCAGGTTCTTGGAGGACTGCCTGTCCTTGAAGGCACTCACAAGCCGGCTCTTCTCTTCCAGGCTGTTGGTCCTTTGCAAGAAGCCTGTAGCCCAAGAAGCTGGGTCAGAGGTAGCGCACGGGACTCCAGCCTCAGAGGGTCGGCTGCTGAGCCAGGTCGACTCTGCAAGCAGCATGCTCACTTCTCAAGAGAAGCGGAGTGTCTGCTTTTTCTATATAAGGGCTCTGGCACTGCCTGCCTTCAGGCGGGTGGGGGGCAGTGCCAAGTGTCATCAGTGGCACAGATCCAGTCATGCAAGAGAAGAAAACAGTAAGCAAAGTCCATTCTCCTCTCTGAATGTGACAGTGAACTCGGAATTAAGTCAATTGGGCAGCTTCCACTCCAGTAAGCAGCCCCAGGATGGGGTTTTAAGGGAAGGACGCAATGAAGAGGGTGCTGCCAGCACTTGGCCTACAGGCTGCGCGCCCAGAGCGCGGGGCGAGGACCAGCGGTGGGGATTAGGGAAGATGCTTTCCTCAGTCACCAAGTACAGCTCATAGATGGAAGTGAGTGTAATTTTTCTAAAGATAAACGAGACAGACCCCTTACCCTCAGGAGCGTACGGTCGGGCAGATGGTGGCCAATGTTGTAATAAAGCTAGACAGCCATCCAAGAATGCCCCAGAGGTGGACTCTGAGCCCAGGGTGGGATTCGAAGCACCTCACCTCTGGAATGGATCTCTCCAGAGAAGCAGGCTGAGCCAAAAGGGCTGGAGCCTCTCCACACAGCCTCCCTCAGTGCCTCTGCACATCCCCTCTGGGCTCAGGACCTGCGGGCCTACTCCTTCCCTCAGCATCTCCTCCAATTCAGCCTCAGTCTTAGTCCTGAGCCCGAAATGCACCCTACTGAAAAGAGGAAGAGAGTTCTAAGCTTCTTGGGGACCCCAAAGCTATATTTGTAGATACCGACATCCTTGGGGAGTTGCTTACATCACAAGGTAGGCTTGGAGGAAAGTCCCAGGAGGTTCAAGAAGAGGCAAGTTAGCCTGAGGAATTCTGCTTTCCTTCCCCAGGACTGCAATTCAGTGGTGATGGGTGGAGAAAGCAGGGATGCAGGGGGAAGGCTGGGGTGATTAGAGTCCTCCCACACACAGGAGCAGGGTCTATTTTTGGAGGGAAGAATAGGAAGGCAGAGGCACCAAAATCTTCATTGTTCCCAGCACCTTGTAAACTTCTCACTAAGGTCCCAAAGGACACCAGAAGGGGAGAAATACACTACTGCAGCGCTTTGCAACCGGTGTGCCGCAAGAATTTTTAAAACATGCAATACCTGACTGTTTAGGCAAGGGCATTGGCCTCTCCCCTTAGCCTGTCAGATAAAAAAAAAAAAGGGGACAACAGCCAACACAACAATAGCCTTCTGGCATGAACGAATCAAAATTATACATATTTTGGGGGGCACAGATCAGCAAAAAGTATATTTTTTGGCGTACCAAAGAAATTTAGTAATTTGGTGTGCCATGAGACAAAAAGGTTGAACATCGCTGTACTATGCAATAGAGCTCCATACCTGGGTATAAAGATGGGGGTCCTACCTTTTCCCTCACCTCTTCTCCTAATTTCTGAATTCCTCCTCCAAATCCCCAAAGTCCCAAACCAGGAGCCAGCACTCATTTGCCAGAGAGATGCAGGAATGCCTGGCTCCTGAATGCACTCTGCTGCCCGGCTCCTGGGACTTGCGAGGCTCTGAAAAGACCAAACCTGTGGCCGACTGGAGGTGAGGTCCTGCCTGCTGAAATCCTACCCTTAGGCCCTGACCCTCTGGCTGGCTCTGGCCCACTCCTGGGGAAAGCCATAAGTCTCTTTACCTGAAAACCCTTAGAAACACCATTTCTCTGGGCAGCTTCGGACCTCGGACCTCCACTTAGGCTTTGAATAGCGTCTCTAAATCGCAGAGGTGTCCTGATAGGGCTGAGAGATGACAACTGTGACACCACTTCAAACCTGCATCCCATTCCTGGACCACACTCCCTGGAGTGTACTATGAATCCATATTTTCTGTAAGTCCTACAATGAGCTTATGAATAGCACACTTACACTGCATTGTAATTTATGACAACAACCATTAGTCTGATAATATAAACGCTTAATGTATATTGTGATTGGAATAACACTTCCCCCACTCACTGGGTTCCCTTGACCTTTGAGTTTGGTGGCAGCATAAGGATCCAGCAGCAGGATCTCCCCAGAGCCCAGAGGCAGAGTCATGACAGGGTGCACCTGTCCTCGGCTTGAAACCAGCCAGAGTGCCATAACCTGACCAAAACCAACTACACCTTCTGCTCTCACTGTTTTGCCTCTTTGCTTCTTAAGACTGTTGAGCTGGGTTACCAGTTACTTACAGGCTTAAACTAGGTCCTCACAGCCACGGTGGAGAGCAAGAGGGAATACAGTCTGCTTCAGTCTCAGAGGCTCCTTGCTAGCCAGGGAGGTTGTCAACACAGTGACCTCAGTGTCATCCAACACCTGGTCATCCTTGCAGAAGTTTCTTCCTGAGCCTCTCAGAGCCTAGAGAGGCCTGGCTTGTTTATCTTTTATGAGACTCCCAGTATTTTAGAAAAAATGCCTTCCAAGAAATTGTTATTCCTCTTGACAAGACCCTGGGTTTTTTCTAGCCGACTCCTCTCCCAGGGGATTCTGCCTTCAGAGCTAAGGGTACCACTGGTGAGACCCAGGGTCTTCCTTGCAGCTTCATTCCTGGGGGTTCTAGGGAAGTGGGGTAGGAGAGTGGGTGGGGGCAGAATCTTGGCAAGACCCTGAAAAAGTTTTGGGGGGCAGGGTAATGGAGTAGGAGGTGGGAAGAGGACCATGAGTCCTCTGCTATTTTAAGGTGAAAGGTCAAGCCAACCCCAAATGGATCAGGTCAAGAGGGCACCTTTCAGGCCACAGAAAGTCTGGGATGAAGGGCGAGGAGGAGCCTGTGTGTGGAGGAAGGGAGAGGGCTACCGATTCAGGTCAAAACTAAAGACTGCACTATGCCTCCACTAGATGAAAATGGAAAGCCAGAGGTGGCCTAGGGTATGGAAAATAAATCCTCCTGGGGCTGTCTTTTCTTTTACAATCAAACCTCACGCGAAGCCTCCTAACCTGCGGCACCAAAAGCATGCATTTTAGCAGAAGGCAATTCTTAATGAACTACCAGCCCTGTCCTACTGTCACAGGGGTTTCAACTTTCCTGAAATTAGTATAGAAACAGATAAGAAACTCTCTACACTCTAGCCCCCAAATGCCCAACTTCCTCAGGGGAAGTTGAGAACATACGGGGGGGGGGGGGGGGGGCGCTATTCCTGGACCAGAGAAGCTCCTTTACCCGAAGTGGCGTGTAGACCTTCTCTTCCGAAGAGCCTGCAGTCGGGCAGCACTTAGCACTGCCTGGCCCAGGCCAAGAGGCGGGATTCGGTGGGTGAGGGCTGCTCACCAGGCAGGCCCAGGACCGCAGAGAAAGCAGCCCTTCCTCCACCCAAGCCTCTCCCACCCGGTCCTCCACCGCGGCGGGCGCCCGAGGCGCGCTCAGTTCTGCTTGCCCGACTGCCTGACAATGACGGCTGCTGAAGCCCAGCCGCGCAGAAGAGACCTGGCACCGAACGCGCCATTAAGCTGGGAAGGGGGGGGGGGGCGCACAGGGGCTATTTATAGAACAAAGCTCAGGCTCTGCCTGCTGCCCCCACCAGGCCCGGGGACCCAGCCTCCGTCCTCGCAGGGGAGAGGGAGAGGGCCAACCCCCCGGGCTGGGCCTGGAGTTGAGCAACCCTTTCTCACTACAAATGCTGCTTCCACGTTCCAGAGGACAGAGCCCCAGAACGCAGGGAGGGCGCGCGCCGGCAAGGGAGGGTGGTTCCCAGAAGCTGCTAAAGAAGCCCCCTGCTGCCGCCCGGGATCTGGGACGCAGGGAAGCTGGAAGATCGGCCCAGAGAGCACCCGCTGGCCCTCCGGCGGGCACCCCGGGGCTGGGGCGGCGCCGAGCGTGCTGGTGCAGCCCCGCAGCTATCTCTGGCGCACAGCAGCTGACGGATGGCTTGTTGAGAAGCCCCTCGTTAATCTTCCCCCGCCTCTCCACCCCCTGCGCGGGGACTCCCGTCTTTTCTGGCCCGATAAGGCTAAAGATTTTAGACGGTGAATTGTAGCAAGGAAAGCAAGTCCTCACTGTCTAGCCAGAGCCACTTGTCTGTGTCCCTTCGAACAACTCTCCTTTCTCTCACACACACACACACACACAAATTCCATATCTTGGGCGTTTTCATTTTAGACCTTCATGTCTCCGGAGAACTGTTCTTTGTCCTTTCCGGCTCCCAGATCTATTTTCCTTCCTTGCTGACAAACTGCACCTGACTCCCACTTCCCCTTTTGCGATCCCCTGCCCTCGCCTGCTCCTTTCCCTCCCCTCCTCCACTTCAAGGGCAGAAACCCTCACGTCTGCATTGCCTGCACCTCCCCCAGCCAGGCCACCGGAGGCTGCAGGAAATTCTTTTTCTTGGCCTCCGAGGCCCCAAATAACGAGATCTGAATCTGTCCTGGCATCTGGGACAAAAATCCCTAGCCTGAGAGGCTGCTTTCAACGCACGATGGTAGAGAGGGAAGGGGCACGTGTCAGCCACCGCCTTAGGCAGATACACCCCCATAGGCCTGCTCTCGGGGAAAGCCAGACCAGTTCACTTTTTATGCACAACCTTCTAGATGCGAGCGAGCGAGCGCAGAGAGCAAGGAAGGGTCTGCACGGCCTCCGCCGAGCAAGAGGAGCAGGGCTGCCGCGCGGGGGCGCTGTGCTCACTCCAGCCTCTAGGCACTCGGAGGAGGGTAGCCCAGCAGTAGCAAGTAGTCCGGAACACCGGCCGAAAGGTCCTTGCTGGCCGGGTCAGGGGAGGGCAGAGGAGAGTCAAGGCCTGTAGAGCAGCGTCTCCGCCCTGTCTCCGCCCCGTCGTAGGGCGGTAGGTACATTAGAAACCAGAGCTAGCAGCCAGGATCCCCTTTCACGTGCCTTCCTCTCCAACCCGGCAAAGCCCGCTTGCCGCGCCGCCGCCTTGCCCTGCCCCAGCCGGCCTTTTCACTTACCACAAATCTTAAGTCCCAGTTTTCTGGTGCATCCATGGGCCACCCCACACCAGGTGTCATACGCTAGAAAGCAAGAGAGGGGCGGTCAGTGAAGCTTGGACCGTGGGAGACCCGGTTGAGGGCAAAGGTTTTTCTGGGGAGGGCGGGGCAGGTCTTCACTAGTGCTCCCCATTAAAAGCTCTTTCCTGAAAGGAGCAAGGAGCCAGATCTGTGGGCAGAAGGGCAGACTCGTGTCCTGTTCCCACTTTCAAGTACAGAACAGTGTCTCCGAGAGGCCGCGCACCAGCGCCCAGCCCAGCCTCCAGGCCACCCGTGTGGGGGAGCTGCCGGGGAGGGTCAGAGCGGGCAGGCTGACCCGAGAGCAAAGGGGCAGGCTCAGTAGCTCGAACTGCCCAGCACCCACCCGCCAGGCCCTGTCTCTTGGTCTCTGCCCCAAAGAAGACTCGAAAGGCGACCACAGTAGCCTGGAAAAGGAACACAGAGGCATCTGGGACCAACACATCTCATAATTTCTTGGCGGGTCTCCAGCCGAGTGGCAGCTTAAAATAAACTAGCATGAAATGGGGTCGCGGAAGAGTTCAGGAATTAATTGGGTGAAAAATAGTATTTGACTAGATGATCGGACTCGCTTGACTGCTCTTCTGTCTGACCGGAGAGTCGGGAAGACAATAGTGCGTGTCCGGTCCTCATCCCCGTCCCCTCGTCCCAACCTGCCCCTCATTAACCCTTCCCTCGACATCTGGGGTCTGGAGATAGTGAAGGGAATCAGGCACCTTGCCTCTGGGTCCCAACCTCGGACCCAGGAGACGACATATTATCATCGAACTCCTCAGGTTCAACTTCCAGCAAGGAGCACGGGGGTGCTGAGCAGCCTGCTGTGTGAGATGCTGGGGTGGACGCAGCGTGAAATTCCCTTCGGATCCTTCAAAGCAAGGTTCCTCCCGCCACTCCCATCCCCCCACCCACCCCACCCTGCGCCTTCAGCCCCCTCCTCCCCCGCGAGTGTTGGCTGTGATAAGGAGAGTGACATCTATTAAACCGAGCACACAGCCCCAGCGGGGACAAGAAATAGCCCGACTCGGTGAGACAGCACGTCACAGATGGAGTTCCTGCAACAGACAGGAAATCGGTGCAAAAGCAAAACCCTGATAATAATAATAATACCTGGCAGGTAAAAAGCTGATAAAGTACTTTTGCTTTAAATACCATCTCAGCTAATTAATTTTTATAATAACCCTATGAAACAAGAGGAGTATTAATCTAAGGCTCTTTGTATAAATATAAGCACTGAGGCTCAGAGAGGCTAAGCGAGTTTTCCAAAGTCACTCAGCTGGGGCGCTGGAGTTCAGACCTATTATTCCGTCTTTCAGAGTTGGGAATAACAGTAAAAGAAAAGGAAAGACAGATGGGGAAAGGAATGAGAGAGCCCCTTTGATGTAGCAAGTGGCGGAGAGGAAGGAGGAGGGGGTCGCTGGAGCAAGAGGCAGAGTACTGTCGAGCAGATTCAGCAAGGCCACCTCCCAGGAGCCCTTGCCGGAGCAGAGAAGCGAGCCAGCTGCACGGTCGAGGATGTCTGCAACTCAGGTTGAGAGGGGGATGCTCACACCGCAGCTGGGCTGTTGGGGGCCGCAACGGTGTTCCCCGATAGGTGCATGCTCTTCCCTGGCAGAGTCTTCCACTATCTTCTCTCTGCCTCAACGGATTCCAGTATGCCAGGCTATGTGCGAACTCAGTTCAGAGCTTCTAGTACATTTCAGACCCAGGGCTGGGCACATGTGCTCAACCTCCGGCAGCAGCCGGGAAGTGGGAGCTCAGGTCCGAAGTGGGGGTGCAGGATTCAAGGGTGGGGGAACACAACGGCTGCCCAGCCCTGCTAGGCAGCAGAAGAGGGGTGGGAAATGTGGAGAGGACTGGAAAAGAAATCCATGAAGGCCAGAGCAATAGACAAAGGCGCACAGGCCTCGCTGTTATGTCCAGCTCTGCCGCCAGTGCCAGACTCACGTGCCACCGGGCTGGCGGCCCTCCCAAGCCCCTCTTTGTTGTGTGGGTAATTGTAGCTCGCCTGGGGGGCGGGGAGAGGGAGCTGCAAAAGGAACTGGAACGCAGCCTAAGGGCTTAAGGCCTCCAGCCCTGGGGCCAGTTGCAGCACTAAGGGGTTGGAAAGGTAGCTTTCGGTGTAACATCCCCCATTTTTGTTGGTGGAAACCTTATAAAAAGTGCCATAAAAGCGCAGCAATAGCCCTGGCCAGTTTGGCTCAGTGATTAGAGCATCGTCTTCGGACCAGAGAGTCCCAGGTTCGGTTCCTACTAAGGGCAGGTACCTCGGATGCGATCGTCTCTGGCCCCACATGGGGTCCTGTGAGTGGCAGCCAGTTGATGTGTCTTTCTCACATCGATGTTTCTCTCTCTCCCTCCCTCTCTCCCTCCTGCCCTATCCGAAGATAAATGCAAAAATGTCCCCCAGGTGAGGATTTTTAAAAAACCAAAAAAAAAAAAGGCGCAGCAATAAGCCCTTTAAACGACACTGCCATCCCTAAGCCTCTCATATCGAGATTTTGGGACTTTTAGCATCTGGAGCTGATAGGTTTGGCGGGAGGCACATTTCAATCCAAATTGGAAAAAGAAAAACAATTCTCTCATCCCCGTGCCTGTATAGAGAAGTGGAAAATCAATCTGAATTAAAAACAGATCCTGGAATGGGTTGAAGAGGTCACTGAGCTAGGAGTAGGGAAGCATACATTCCTCCCATCTCCATCCTTTATCAGGTTCCCCTTTTCCTTTCCTCCGGACACATTAATTGTAGACCTGCCCCCGAGAAAAGATAGGGGTGCTTTCTCCTCCCACCCAGGCACCCCTGATTCTCCAACTCTTACCACTCAGGATGCTGCCCGCTCCTTTGGGGGGGGGGGTCTCTGAGATGTAATTAATTGTCTAAAGTGTCCAGGCTCAACCTCAAACCGATTTTGCACCCTCCTCGCCTTTGACTTCTCCCTCGCTTGTCAAAATAGCTCGAGGCAAATTTGGAGCAATTAGGAATTCTGAGTTTTCTAAAAGCTGCAATTAACGTCGAAATTTCCTCTGATTATAGACTTCAGCACAGCACAGGGAGAAAGGAGGAGGGGTCAGATCTCGGCTTAACGAAAGCTGGAGAGAGAAAACTGTACCAGCTGAGACTCCCTGCTCCTCACACCGCTCCTTACCCTGACCCCCGACGTCCCACCAAGCAAAGGAACCACTCACAGCACAACAAAAACAACACTCTCGATACCCATCCCTCCCCCACAGCGAAGCCTTCAACGATCGCTGCCACTCGACACTGCGTGGATCCCACTCTCCAGTGCTCCCAAATCGCCTCGCTTCCCTGTTAGTCAAACGACCTCTGGCCAGACCAGATCAGGGCCTCCTTTCTTTCCAGTCTCCATCATCGCTCTCCCCCTTCCCTCTCCGCCAGTGTAGCCTTCTCATGTCCCAGTGCCCTCATCATCCCCGCAGTCGATTTGATAGGAAACTGGGGCAGAACCTACTTGTGGGACGCAGGTTGGTAGTACTGGGGTCCGCTCCAGCGTTCGAGGAGGTAGCGGATGAAGAAGGGGTCGAAGACGCCATCAGCTCAGTTGTCCCTGGGCCTCTGCTGTCCAGGGTCCTCGGCCCGTCAAGCGCAGGAACAGGCTGTAAAGAGAAGCGATAGCTGTGCGGGTAGGGCTTCTGGGGTTCCCAGCGAGGTAGGCGACCGAGCAACCAGGGGCACGGATGCTCCCCCTGAAGTCTGGGCTGGGGGGAGAGAAGCGGGAGGACGAGCTGCTAGCCGGCTGCGTCGCGCAGGAGAAAGGGGGGACATGCGCTGGAGCTCCAAGACTCCGGAGCTCGCAACGTAGCTCCGGGAGACTCTCCAGTCTGGCGAAGCGGCTTCGACCTGGAGCGCAGCGCTGACTAGAGGAGCCCAAGGCCAGTGTAGGGCGCAGGGGTGCGGGCGCTGGGCTAGGAGGGCAAGGAAGGCCCAGTGTGTGATTTTCCAGCCTAGCCGCGACAAGCCCCATTGGGCTCCCAGCAGCCGGCGGGCGGGAGAATGGGGGTGGGGGGTGCACAGGGCGGGCACGTCTGGTTCGGTGTCTGATTCTCGTTGTTGTGTCTGGACAATTCCCTGGAAAGAAGGAGGCTAACTGCTCCGGGATCCGAGGACTTTGGCGAGACAAGGTGAGGAATAAGGGTCCGGATCTTTATGTTTTTCCTCGGACTCGTCAGGGTAAGCACTGTCACCGGGCGCTCCAAACAGCCAGAAAGCAGAGGGTCGCAACCTCGCCTGTCTCCCTCTAGCCCCACCCCGCTTTGAGCCATCTCGAAGCCTAGGGCAAAGCTCGACCCAGGATTCTATGTTTCCTCTCTACCCAACTCTCTGTAGACCTCGGATTTCACGCGGCACAGACTCGGAGAGGGTGAGGGAGGCAAGAAAGGGAAACGTCACCCGGGAAACGAATTTGCGCCCAGCGCGCGGGGAGGCGGCAGACAAGGATTGGTGCGCAGCGCCCGTGCTCAGCGCCCCGCGCTGGCGCCATGGCGTCCGAAGGCTCCGGGACAGAGAGTGAGGGCGAATCTGGGAAGATCTCAGACCCTGCAGAGTAACGCCCACCCGCCACCGCCTGCTCGCCCCGCCTAAAACCCCATACCTAGCCCCTCGCGAGCACTCGCACAAAAACGCAGGCCTAGGGGTAGACTGTGGCTTACGGAGAAGTAACAGGTTTCCGCTCGGAGTCGCGCCTTTGGCTGCTGCTGTCCTGGAGCCCTCAGGTGAGACAAGCGCTTGCAGCCGGGAAGCGCAGGGAAAAATCACTCTCGATCCACTTCTGCGCGAGCCTCAGCCTCTGTGCATCCCTGGGACGTGAATCTCTCGGGGAGGGGAGGGTGCGGGTAGGATGGGCGCGAGTTCGGGGATCTCTGTGCGGCGCACCAGCCGAAAGCCCGGACTGGGGCAGGCTGGGCGTCCTCGGCTGCTGAGGGTGGATGGCGGACGCCCGGTTGACCGAGAAACTGCGAGTGAAGAAGACCCAGCTGAACAGCTGAGGCTGGGCACTAGGATGTCCCGCGGCCGCGTGCTTACCCACCTTGGTTCGGCGACAGCAAGCCAAGTGCTTCCGCGGCTCCTCTGCGCAGCGCCCAGCGGTCCACTCTCTGGGCTGGCTCGGCCACAGGCTTAATCCGTCAGGCGTCACCTCCAGCTGCCGCCTCGCTCCCACTAGCACCGTCCCGCACGCTAGCGCCCGGAGGATAAGAGAGCGACTGGGAAAGGCGGCTGCTGGGCTTGGGGGAGGCGGGGGCGGAGTAGGGAGGCGGGACTCGCTCCGCCGGGAAATCACGCGGCCATGGTTCGCGGGGGCAGCTAGTCGGCAGAGCGGCGGGGTTCCTTTGCAGGTGTCTGATAACCTCTGGAGCTTTGCATGGCCATTATAAATCCAGATCACGATTTTGCGCCCGGAAAAAAAAAAAGGCCCTATGAGTAATCCAGAATGTACTCAACACGCTCTATTTTTTGAAATAGGCAGTGTCGGGTAAGACGAGAGAAAAGATAATTCCTGTGAAGAATTCTGCTTGGCTGGGCACTTCTTACTCCCTCTCTTCTCCCCACCCCCATATCTTTGAGAAGACAAGAGTAGTGGCTTTACCCCAATTTCTTTCCCAGCAGTTCCCCAGGTCTATCATCCATCCCGCCAGCGAAAAACTCGCTCAGTGTCCTCGCTGGCCCTCTACTTAGCCAGGATTGTTGTAAAAGCACAGGAGGCAGAGATGAGAGGGAACACTCAGACCCTTGAAGGAATCTCCATCTCCTTTTCACTTGTTTTCTCATCCAGCTCAAGGTCTCCCTAAAATATCTCACGTGAGCATAGCTACCCGGTGTCAGGGCAGAGAAAAGGGTCCCGTTTCCCACCCACCTTGCACTCCCTCCTAGGATCTACCTAGTGTAAACGAATCAGAGGCTTTGGCTAGAAGTAAGTGATAAAGCTTCACTTGAGAGTCGTAGGGTTTGCAAACCGGAAACACAATTAGGTGATACCCCAAAGTGTTCCCAAGAAGAAAGATAGGCTGAGGGTTCTTAAGAAAATTTTTAAGTAAAAATTCTTAAGAAAATTCAGACCTGCATTCTTAGCCTCTGCGTTGGTCCGAGGTGGTCATCTCTAGATGAGGGCGTGGTCTGGATAATGAATGTAGGGCAGTGTGGATAATGGATGTCAGGTGCTCTAGATACCTGAATAATTCTTTCCTTGCCCCTTCACGGGTAAACAGAGGGTTATCTGGAGGTTTGGTGCATATCCAGGCATTGAGGCAAGACCGGAAAGTTAAAAAGTTGAAATTCCCAGGTTAAAATAAAAATAGAATTGTTTTCTCATGCCTCAACCTTCTGGATTTTAGTAATTTAGCAGCTTGACTATAGTGACTTTTTTTACTTCTTTATTCTGTTCCTTATTGGCTTTAGTCCTCTTGATGATGGAGAAAGAACTAATTCTGATCGATCACATCTGAAGGTTAATAATATGCAGGAATGTCATCCTACCCACGCGGGGAACCCAAGCACAGAGCGAGCGAGAGCGAGCGAGAGCGCCTTTGCTTTGCTTTTTAGAATTCTTTTGCAATAGGTAAGCATATTTAATGAATTGCCGGGTTCAGAAAGCCCCTCACCACAAAAAAGGCGTTCACGGAAAACTTCCACCAGAGGGCGCCAGATACCCAGAAAATGAGAGGCTGTGTGCTAGCCGGGTCTTTACTGACGCGCCAGAGCCAACACCTGCTGGGGCTGGCTGTGCTCTCCTGTGCCTTCAAGCCATCCCTCAGCTACCCTCAACGCTAAATTATGGTCTCCTCTTTCCTTTACTTCAACTTCTTTTTATTTAGGGCAAATCAAAGTTGATCTTTGTGTGTGTCTGGATGACACCATTTTTTTTTCCTGTTGCGGCGCACCAGGCAAAGGTTATTTATGGACACGTCTGCGGCCTTGCTGGTCCATCCGAGGCCTGCCCCTCCCCTCTTAATGGCTTATCACTTTTCACCACGGCACAGTGGAAACGCAGAAAATCGTACAAGTCACTGAAAATTCCATAAAGGAGATGGAAGATTCGCCCTGAGAAGATATAGTCCGATCAGTAAGAGAGATCTTGCTGTGGGGTTTGAAATAACCGCGTTGTCCTTGATACTAAAGAAAATATTGTCGCCCTCTCTCCGCCTTACAATAAGAGCTTGGGCGCTTTTTAAAGGTACAAAAACTTTCGGAACGGCGGGCCGGGGGTAACCGCGGCTCCAGGCCAGAGCTTGGGGCCAGGAAGGGTGGGCGTGCCCACTTCGTGCAGGAAACGTCCCTCTGAACCACCCTCCGAGCAGCTTCTCGGCCACGCTGGAAATGCGAAGTTCACGCTCGGAATTCCACCCACGCCCCCTCCTCGAGACTCCCTAAAAGATGGTTGTGCCAGTCCTGGAGCCAGGTGCCTGTGCTCAATTATGCGAGACGACAGGAGGGAACAGACAACAGATCTTGACTCCCCTCGGGGGTTAGCTGTCATGGGAAGATGCCCGCTCACTCTCTGTCTCCCCAACCTTCTTCCTTGACCCGAGATAGTCCTAAAGGAAGATTCGTTTACCTTCACCTGTGGCATCAGACTGATACATTTCCAACCACTCCCTCTTCTGACCTATGTCCAAACTGCTCACCCCTAACGTTTTAGCCAAAAAAATTACCTCGTTGGAAAGAGAAGTCTACAAGACTAAGTATCACAAATTAAAGATGGGTCGGTCCAGCTCCGAGTACATTCCTCCCTTTCCATTAAAAAAAAAAAAAAAAAGATTTTAGAGAGAAACAACGATCAGTTCTACACACACCGACCAGGGATGGAACCCACAACCTGGGTATGTGCTCTGACCGGGAATCGAACCCACCACTGTTTGATGTATGGGGCACCGCTCCAACCAACTGAGCCACACCAGGCAGGGCTCCCTTTCTCCTTTATGGAGGGGGAGGGATAAGGGCTCGTCCTTAATTTAAAAACGCTTAATTAAATATTAGAAATTAAACGAATATTTATCACTTACTATGTGCCAGACACTCTTCTCACGGAGCTTACACTGTCCCAGCAACTTATATTATCCTTGCACTCAAGGAGTTGGCATTCCAGCTAGGCGGGGAGAGTAACAGACTTAGGAACTTTGATTTATTTTCCAGTTATCTCTCATCCTAACCCAGAATCTTGGGCTCAGCGGAGATGGTAAGGAATTTAAGGTCTGGAATCCCATCCAGTTCCAGCCCATCGAGTTCGGAGGCAGGGCCCGGTCCTTTCAGCACCGAGGACAGCGCCCAGAGATCCAGTCCCCCGCGCCTGCCTTCGGTCCGCTTTAGTCTCCAGCCTTGGCCCACCCACCGCTGGCGCCCGCCTGCCTTCCGGCACGACCGCCGGTGTTCCCCCTGGTAGGCGGCGGAGGTGGTGGTAGGGGAGTGCTTTGCCCCCCTCCACCTCCCCATAAGAACTCGTACTGAGGGTGGTTGTGATCGTCTTTTGGCTCTTTAGAACATTTGGAATCTATATTTTTGTTTGTGTTTTCCTCTTTTCTTTTGATCTGTTATTACTACCGGGGGAAGATGCTCTGACAATGGGGGGGGGGGGTGGAAAAATGATATCCTCTCTGGGGACTCGAACCGGCTGGGAGGGGTAGCCCGGAAGGGAGTGGCATCCGCCCAGCTGTTTCGTTTCCATTTGATCTCAGGTTGAGCGCTTTGAAGAAATGGGAGCGCGACGCCCAGAGGCAGAAGGAGTGGGCGAGTGCGGCCCCTCCGGACTCTCGGGTTTGCTACCCTGCAGCCCCGGCTACTCAGTCCTGAGAGCACAGCCTTCCTTCAGGTCAGCGTGGGCTGTGACCTGGACGTGACCATCCGCCCACAGTAACCTTTCCCCGGGAGGTTCAAAGATATTCCAACCGGATTTGGAGCCAGCCTTTCAGCCAAGGAAAAAAGGAGGGGGTGGGAAGAGGGCAAGGCGTGAAAGGGGCGCCCACACGGGCTGCGGGGGAGATTTTTATGCGTAAAATATGGTCCGCGTCAAGGTGAGTAAACAAGAACGTCAATTTTGATTTTTTTTTTTTTTTTGACGTATTTAGCATCTTTTAGCCTACGGGAAAGGTAAATTTAGAGCCACGGTGTTGGTTCATTTCAGCTGACTCTCTAAGGTCTATTTTAAGGAGAGAGAGAGAGAGAGAGAGAGACAGTGCTCGCGTTTTAAACGTCTGTCCCCCGAGACCAGAACTGTGGGAATCGTTGTTAACTTTCTACTCGGCTGTTCTTGGGTCGGAGCTGAAGTCTTTCAGTGTGTTTGTGTACTTGAAAGATAAATCGCTCTGGACTTTGGAGACCATAGCTAAATCGACACCCCTACCCCAGCAAACCACACTGCACTCCTCGGAGACAGGGAAGGGTTAAAAGGGTGGTGAGGGAGGCAGAATTCCGGGCAGAACGCTGGGAAGGACTCCGGAAATTGCAACCTTTTCTCCGAGAGAGCTGAATTGCTCAGATAATAGTCAAACGGTCCCTTCCCCCTTGATAATCAGAAGATAAAAATATTATAATATTAAAGAAATTAATCAAGGGGGAGAGTGATTTGTATTAGGGCAAATCTACAAATTTCAAGACACCCGGTTCTGGTTATTGCAAACATGAAGACAAAGGGACCACCAGGTGGCGATAGATTACAATTCTGAGAAGAAAGGGGCCCCACAATGGAGCAGTTCCTCAAGGAAAACCGCAGGCCCTTTAAACCAGTTCACATTCATTCCCTGCCAGATTTCACAAAGCAGGGCTTTCTTTTTTTTTTTTTTTCCTTGTAAATGCTGAGAGATGCTACTGGAAGTGACCTGAAACATCCAAAGTCTCTGTCTCGTTGGTGAAAGAGAAGGGGATGCAGAGTATCCATTTCCCACAGAGCTGCTCCTCAGAGAGAATCTTAAGAAGGGAACCCTTTGATATGAGGCAAGGTGTTTCACTGCAAAATTGGGGACCAAGGAAATAACAGACCTGGATTACAATTCTGACAGAAAGCTTTTAGGATGCATCTATTTTTTTTCAATTATTTGTTCAACATAAACTAAGGCAAATTCAGTCCTTTTCCAAAGTGGGATGCAAGAAAAATGATTTCCCACGAGATGCTTTCAGTGAAACAGTACGAAATGGTATACTAGGCATAGGAATATTTTACCCATTTTTTTTTTTTTCAGTGTAAAAGCTCTTGGACTATTAAG